CCATTTAGGAAGAGTACAGGTAGCAACAAAAGAATTATATATAAGTGTGTTAAGACGGGCGAGACGCCCCGGCTTCGCACAGGTGATTTCTGGAATCTCGACAAAAGCGACACCTACCGGATCTAATTGTGAATCTAAATAATTCTCGAATCAACTTAACTGCAATCACAAAATTTTATCAAAATCGGTCCAGCCATTTAGGAAGAGTACTGGTAGCAACCAAAGAATTATATATAGGTGTGTTAAGATAGGCGAGACGCCCCGGCTTCGCACAGGTGATTTCTGGAGTCTGGACAAAAGCGACACCTACCGGATCTAATAGTGAATTTAAATAATTTTCGAATCAACTTAACTGCAATCACAAAATTTTATCAAAATCGGTCCAGCTATTTAGGAAGAGTACAGGTAGCAACAAAAGAATTATATATAAGTGTGTTAAGACGGGCGAGACGCCCCGGCTTCGCACAGGTGATTTCTGGAGTCTGGACAAAAGCGACACCTACCGAATCTAATTGTGAATCTAAATAATTCTCGAATCAACTTAACTGCAATCACAAAATTTTATCAAAATCGGTCCAGCCATTTAGGAACAGTACAGATTATTAATAAGCATTTACAGTTTACGTACATAATTGTATAATAATCTTTATTTAGTATGGAAATAGAGTATTAAACATAACAGTAAGTTAACGTGTTTTTTGTATATTACGTAATAAAGCCGTCAATTGTACGCGACGGACGGGACGGATTGAGGTCATAAATGTTAATATTTAGACAACATCCTGGTTGTTACTTGAGTTTTTAATATGATAAATTTAACTAGTCCATTCGGAAATACAAAAAATAAAACTTTTACTGAAAAGTAAAAGTCAACTTTAAGGAACTAATTAATGAAGAAATAATTAAATATTTTCCACGTAATAATTTCTGAAGTAGTTGCCAAGTAGGCGTTAGTGCTTACATGTAATAACTAAAGCTTTGCAACAGTTACGAGGAAATTACTTAACTCTTTTTTGTTCTCTTAAGTCGGCTTGTGCTTTTTATTATAAAAGTTTTTTTTTAGTTTAGTTTAATTTCCTTATTGAAGCTTCAAATATTACAATAAATATAAACGTAATAAAAACTTCCAATATTATAAAAAATTACGTAATTAAATGATAATTATATATGATAATAGTTTAATTTATTTATTTATTACAAGATCCACAGCACTAATTACAATGTAAATAAAACTTAAAAAATAAACTTACAGCCAATAACGGATCTACTTTATACATTTTTTAAACTTAATAAAAAAACATTACGTATTGATCATGAGCTGTGATGATCCTGTTAATTATTTTTTAATATCAGGATCCTCGTGATCCTGATAAACAGTTAAACAGATAAACAGGGATATACTCCTGATCAGGATCACCAGGGTAAAATCAGGATGTAAGTGAATTATTACATTGTCATCGGTCCTTGATACAAGTGAAAATTATCAATCAGTCGTCTACAAGTTGGTGAAAATTACATTAGAAAATTCCGTTAAATATATAGATAGATAAATAAACGTGAAGTTAATAAATTCGTGGGGAAAAATTATGATTTTGTCCACGCTTATTTAATAAAAACTCATATATCTACGATAATTTTAATGAATTTATAAAATGTAAATTTCCAATATTAACGTAATTTTACATAGGTTTAAGAAGAAAAATAATAACTTACTTATTTGCCTAGTGAGCGCTGGTTCTCTCTTCAAAGCTTTCTTGCTGATGAACCGATTATAATCTTGTTCGGTTAAAATCGGGTACTTATCCCCCAAATCCCATGGGGTATCACTATAGAACTTTAGTATTTCGGGGGTATCGTCCGAGTAACTTAATTTGGAAGAGTAACGTATGTTGTACACGGCTCGCGCGTAGAGTAATTTCTTCAAAAGTTTTAAGTTTGGTTGAAATTTCAACGGTGAAAACATGTTGCCTTTTTTTGAGTATATGAAAAAAAATTAATCCGTTTTATATCACTCACGCAAAAATTAAATTTAAGGATTTGTTTTTTTCACATCCGCCTAAACTTTTTTATGTTTTTCGTAATAATATTTTTTGGCCAACTTGTGTGAACGACGCGAATTGAGTTCCAACACGTCAGAGGTTGGCGGTGTGTTGTGCGAATTTAGATATGGGCGCTGCCGGTGAATACTTGTCAAATCGAGACATACGTATAATGATGAATTCATATTTTATAGAATACATTACATATATATATATATATATATATATATATATATATATATATATATATATATATATATATATATATATATAAAACACTAGCTTGCCAGGCAGACGTTGTTCTGCCCTTTTCGTGTCCTATTAAAAATCCTTTAAATTGCAAATAAAGTTGAAGATCACTCATGGGCAAAAAAAAACTATCACTAACATGGTGTGAAAATTTTATTAAAATCGGTAGAGTAGTTTAGGAGTCCATCGCGGACAAACAACGTGACACTTAATTTATATATATATATATATATATATATATATATATATATATATATATATATATTTGTTATACAAAACCAACAGCTTACAAATCTTTAGCAAATAATAATATGTTTAATTACAAGAATATATTAAGTATTAATACGTACGAGTATGACATATTATGTAGATCTACTTGCGTAGAGTTACTTGCAAGTTGTAACACATGTTTATTCATTTTAAAAGCACGACCAATTTTGAATCTTATCATAATAAACAATGATGTTTTTAAGAACAGTTACTTATTGATAAATTTATATGACCTCTTGATAACTTGGTACACAATCGTTATACAACATTTTTTAATAATTTAATTTTTTGCCGTGCAGTGGCGGTGTACGAAAATTCACTACCACATACATCCTGTGGGTTCAGCAGCGAAAAAGACAAAATAAAACAGAAGATAAGAAGTAGCACGTAGTAGAGCCATGCTGCAGCTATATTATGATGGTAGTACGAGTGGGTTGCCTCGACTCGGGGAGGGGGACGCTCTAACAGAATACCAGCTTAAAATAGCAGTTTAAAGTTGCCGTCTTTTGTATCGCGAGTGTAGAGAACCGGAGACCCTTTTTACTGGATACGAGACATTCTGTCTTAGTCCTCACGGGTGACAACGCATCTGCTCTTTGATACTCAATCGAGAATAGATTTAGATGTAGAATTCACATACATATAGATGTAGTATTCACATTGATTTACCATCTAAGGCTGCATCACCACTTACCTTCATGTAGGAATGTGGTCAAGCACTGGCTTAATAAACGTAACGTGTCTTAAAAGTATTTAACCTTAAAAAAAGTGTTTATTTTTTATTTTTAAAAAAGCACATGCAGTCGCATGCGCCCGGTAAATCCCGAGCGGTCGCATGCGACCGCACCCACCCGCAGCACTTAGAACCATTAAAACTTATATTTAGAGACTACTTTTCTATGAAGAAGTTTGACATTATAAAATCTATACAAAATTCTCTATATAAAAGTCAGGTTTTACTTCATTACAAAAAGACTATTGTGTTTTGATAACCAAAACAAAACATACCAAGCGAATGTCAGCAGCTTGAAAATCACAATTATTTCAATATATATTACTTACTATTTTCTACGAAATTATTTACGTAAAAAGATAAGTTACATTCACACAAAAACTTTCATTAAAATTTTATAATAAAATACTATACTAAAACACTAAAAAAATCCAAATCAACACAATAACATTCACGCGAAAATGGCGTACGAAATGAACGTAGATTATATATAAATATTCATAAGATAACTTGACATTTTATTGCACTAGAGAACCGAAAATTTCATATTGATTCTATAATGCCACACTTTGTCGTAGAAAAATAGTCTCTAAATATAAGTTTTAATGGTTTAAAGTGCTGTGGGTGTGCGCGGTCGAATCCGACCGCTTGGATTTTGACGGAACAGCGCTGCGGTCGGATTCGACCGCTTGGGGATTGAGAGGTTAAAAAAACCATCGGATGGACTATATGCTCATCTGTAACCCTGATTCAAAAACAACAACAGGAACCCTTATAAAAAACAACTAGTCGGATAGTTTGCGGCTTCTAGGCAAACACACTATTCAACAACTTCGATCTTCACTTTCCCAACAACTACGGCAAAGCTGTGACATAGACGTTACGTATGACCTTATTTCGTTTTCAACGTGAAATAATGAATTTAATGACTTAATATTAATAATAATAGCCTTTATATTTCCATGCAATTTACATACATACAAGAAAAACTAAATTACAATTAGTTGCTGTTTAAGGCATGGCCTCGCTCCGGCTATAATCCTTCTTCAACTGTTTCCATTTTTTCCTGTTTTGTGCTTTCATCATCCAGTGTCTATCGACTAATGTATGGGTTTCATTAACCTTTAAGTATTTTTTATAGAATAAGTGTGACAACCGAGCATACAGTTAGTCGTACGGTAATTGGATGCTGTGGGCCATAGACATTTACATTTATCTTCAATTAAGAATCAAAATGCAAGTCATCCCCCAAAACTGAGATGGAATGCCTCGTTTCCAGTAAAAGGGTCTCCGGATCTCTATACTCACCATACAAAACACAGCAGCATTAAGCTGCTATTTGACGCTGGTATATTCTGTGAGAGCGTAGTTCTTCTCCGGTCGAGCAAACCCATTCATGCCATAAGAATAACATAGCTGCAGCGTAGTTCCACCACGTAACTCCATTTACTCCATGCCTTTCCGCATGAGCCCGTCTATTCAGTGACAAGTTCTGTCCATTTTGCTTCTGTAATCTGGGCGATGTGCCCCGCTGGCTGTCGTGCGTGTTGTTTTCCGTCTATCAATTTAGTTTTCTTGCGAATATCCTCGCTCTAACGTTTATCACTAACCACCTCTTAATGCCTAAGATACTTCGATCCACAGCGCACTGGCACGTAAGCATTATATTTTATTTTTTGTTTTCTTACGGAAAATGATGACTTACCGTCTCATAACTTGGTAGAGCTCGAGCGGCTCGGTGTTGAACTGCGACTGCTGGTGGGAGTGCCCGTAATGCTCGGAGGTGGGAGCAATCTGCCACAGATAATTATGAAAAGATATGAGCCCGGTTAAAATTCTTATCAAAAGTGATATAAATACATCATAGGTGACGAGATGGTTATAGCGCCTTTTATCGGTAGCGGTATCGGGGATGAGTCGCTCGCGTCCGTAGGCTCCGACCACCTAACATTAGGCCCACCCTACACGTGTCCCCCGGGTGGTGCTAAACGAGCGACAAAGCCGAAAAAAATAGACTCGGCTCCTCGCCGTATGGTAGCGGCGTAAAATCTACCACCACCCCTTGTTCGAATGACTCAGGAAATAAAAGAAATGGCCCCGAGTTCCCGGCGCCCCTTAAATGGGGCAGGGGTGCGAAGAATCTCCGGGAGAAAAACCGGCGACGAGGTTCGCCACCCGTCACGTTCTGTCTACCGGAGGGGCGAAAAGTGGATTGCGGAAACCCGTCTGGCTACGCTGAATGTATGTGGAGGAATGAATGATAAGATGGATGAAGTATGCGAAATGATGAATGACAGAGGAATAGATGTGTTATGTGTGAATGAGACGAAACGAAAGGGAAAGGATGCCACTGCACATGGCACGTATACCGCGTATTGGTCTGGTGTAGACGAGACCGAACGGGCGTGCCAGGGAGTCGGTTTCATCCTTTCAGAAAGAATGGGTCAATGTGTGAAAGAGTATGAATGTGTAAGCCTGAGACTGCTATGGATACGAATGAAAGTGGGCTTAAAGAAGCTGTTCCTGCTAGGGGTGTACGCCCCAGACATGTCTAAGCCCGCTTACATTCGAGAGCAGTTTTGGGACATGGTAAGGATGGTGTTGACAAAATGTAAGGAAAATGAAAATATTATTATGTTAGGAGACTTTAATGGAAGGGTTGGGGTGAAGAGGTCTGGTTATGAAAGGATATTGGGAACGTTTGGTGATGAAAGTATAAATGAGAATGGTGAAGACCTCCTCACCGTATGTGCGGAAAAGAATCTTTTTGTGACGAATACTTTTTTTCGTCATAAGAAGATTCACATGTATACATGGGAAAGAGGTGATGATAGAAGCATGATAGATTTCGTAATTGTGGATGAAAGAATGAGGAGCGCAGTCGTAGATACAAGGGTTTACCGGGGGGTCCAACGTAGGGACGGATCATTACTTGGTCTTATGTCGAATTAATGGTCTTTTCAAGCATTGGCGGCATCGGACATCTGTGTCTACCACTGCGTTACAGCGTATAAGAATAGAGAAGTTACAAGATGAAGATGTGAAAGAGAAGTATAAATGTAGACTGAGAGAAAATATTAGATGTTTGAATGAGTTGTGTATGAATGATTTAGACTTGAAGACTGTGTGAGATAATATTAAGAAAGGTTTGGTGGATACCACCACCGAAGTATGTGGTGTAAGTAAAAGAAAAAATGAAAGGAAAAGTAATACGTTGTGGTGGGATGATGAGGTACGGGTGGAAGTTGAATCAAAGAAGAAAGCATGGTTAGATTTACTAGCAACCAAAGCTGGTAATTCTTCTGGTATGAATGATGAGATTGAAAGAAAAAAGGCAGAATTTAGACGTCTAAATAAGAGAGTAAAAGAAGTTGTTGAAAGGAAAAAAAAGAAAGAATGGATAAGAATGATAGAAGGATAGCTGATAATTTCCAGGCTAACGTAAAAATGTTCTGGAAACTCGTAAGAACTGCCAGGGGAAATACAAAACAACCTATAATAAATGCTATAAGAGACGAGAATGGATGTATTCTGAATGATGAAGTTTCGAATTTAAACAGATGGAAGGAATACTTTGAAAGCGTGTTTATGAGTGAAGAGTCGTATGAATTAAATGAACTAGAAATTCCGAAAGAAGTGGAAAGGGGTATGGAGATAAGTGTAGATGAAATAATGAAAGCAATGAAAAGCATGAAAGCAGGTAAGGCAGCTGGATATGATAGAGTATCACTCGAGATGCTAAGGGCTGGAGAGGGAGTGGTGGCAGGCCTGCTGTACACCTTGTTTAATTTATGTTGGGAATTAAAACGGGTACCGGATGACTGGTGTAAAGCAGTTATAGTACCAATATATAAAGGAAAAGGGTCACAGCAGGACTGCAAAAACTACCGCGGTATCAGCTTGCTTAGTATTGTGGGTAAACTGTATGTTAAGGTGTTAATTGAAAGAGTTATGAAAGAAACTGATGGAAAAATTTGGGATGTGCAAGCGGGTTTTAGAAAGGGAATGGGGTGCACAGATCAAGTCTTTTCCATGCGCATGATTGCGGAGAAGTTTTTGGCCAAAAAACCAGAAAGTTTTTTGTGCGTTCATGGACTTGGAAAAGGCTTATGACAGAGTGGACAGGAATGTGTTATGGCAAACACTGAACTCATATGGGTTGAGCGCTGGTTTGATACAGGCATTAGGGTCTCTTTATAGGGACTCTAGTGCTTGTGTCAGGATCAATGGGGTCTACTCGGACTGGTTTGGCATCCAAAAAGGTGTCAGACAGGGCTGTGTAGCTTCCCCTTGGCTGTTCAACCTATTTATGGACCGGTGTTTGCAAACTTTGAAAGATGAAGAATGTGGTTTAAGAATGGGCGAGTTAACCGTCAAATGCCTTTTGTATGCCGATGATCAAGTCATATTTGCGTCATCAGCGGCTGAGTTGCAAATGATGGTTACATTAATGAACTGGGAAGTAAAAGAAAGGGGAATGAAAGTGAACGCAAGTAAGACGAAAGTGATGGTTTTTGAAAGAGAAGAAAGCAAAACGGTATGTGAAATAAGAATAGAAGGAGAGTTAATTGAGCAAGTGGATGAGTTTGTGTATTTGGGATGTGTATTTAGCAGGGATGGTAGATATGATAGGGATATAGAACGACGAGTAAATGCAGGGAATAGAGTGAATGGGGCACTACACTATTATGAAGAACCAGAATGTGTCAAAACAGGCACGTATGGTAATTCATAATGCTGTGTTAGTCCCTACGTTAATGTATGGTAGTGAAAGCTGGGTGTGGCAGAAGAAGCACGAAAGTAGAATAAATGCTGTAGAAATGCATTCTTTAAGAAATATGCTAGGGTTTAATCTGAATGACAGGGTGAGAAATTGCGTGATAAGAGATAAATGTGGTATGCAAGATGATGTTGTGACCAGGATTAAGAAAGGAATGCTTCGGTGGTTTGGTCACGTAGAAAGAATGAATGATGAAAGAGTGACAAAGCAAATTTATATGGCAGATGTGAACGGCCGAGTCGGGAAGGGACGCCCTAGAAAAAAGTTTGTCGACCAAATTGGCGATATTTTGAAAATGGGCCACGTTAGAAGTACCCTTAACCGACGAGCATGTATGAGTATATATTTGGATGTAAAGGAGGCGAAAGAGGTATGTCAGGATCGTGCCAAATGGAAGTCCGTAATCTCTGCCTACCCCTCTGGGTGACAGGCGTGAGTGTTTATGTTATGTATGTATTATCGGTAGCTATGAGATTTTTCTGGCTTCTTTCATCATCATTATCATAACAGACCTTCACAAGTTCACTTCTGAACATAGGCCTCCCCCAAGGAATGCCACAAAGAACGTTCCTAAGGCACCTGCATCCACCAGCTTCCTGCATATCTAACCAGGTCAAATTATGACTTGGACCTTTTTTAAATTTAGCTGCTGCTTACACGTAACTATAATCTATATAAAACGTAATGTTGAAGAGACTGTCCGTAATATTAAAATAACTCCCTTTTATTGCTCAAGCAGATATTTGCAAGCCATAAAGAAATGAATAACTATTTAATAAAAACAAAAACTATTTTGTAATTTTTTGTCTCTCTGTGAACCGTAGTGGCTCTGATGGTTGGCGCTAGCTGTAAGCTTCACAGTACGTGAGCAACCCGGGTTCGACCCCTGCCAGTACCTATGAAATTGTTAAATGCAATTTTCGGAGTAGGCTCTTCGAAGGTCCCTAAGTCGTATCGGCCCGGAAAAATCTGGTGGTAGTCGATTCCATGAGAAAGTTGTGCGAGGAAAAAAACTTCTTTTAAATCGCACAGTGGTGGACCGCAAGTCATCCAGATGGTATAGATGGTCTCGCGAGTTTTATCGCGATGGTGAAATTGTGTGCCTGGAATTAGACTGAACAATTCCTCTGAGAAATAAGAAAAATAAATATTTCGAAGACATGTGAAGTTCGCCAACACGCATTGAGGCAGCGCGGCGTACACTTCCTTGCCCTAAAAAAACTGTCTCGGAAATAAGAGGAGGCCTGTGCCCAGCAGTGGGACAAATATAGGCTGTTCCTAACTAACTTTGTCTCCCTGTCTGTTCGGACGAATCTTCGAAATGGCTGAACCAATCGTGGTGAAATTTGAAAAACAGATAGAGAGCAATGCCAGGAGTGATCTAGGCTGTATTTCATCTATTTTTTAATTGTATGACGAAGCTGGAGCAGATTGCTAGTAGAGTAATAAAACATTATAACTATATATTGTATCACATATAGTATAGAGTAGTTATATAGTATACTCGTATATATCTGACCTGAGTAGTTGCTGGTAAGTGTGGCGGCGCCTCATGCTGGCCGGCGCTGGAACGTGCGGCGGCGAATGTGGAGCCAGCGCGAGGTGCGGCGCGCCACTGCGTACCGCCCACCTACTCTATACACAAACACACCATCATCATTATCATCATCTTTACAAGACCACATCTAGACATCTCATGTTACAGGGAACTTCTGTCTTAATCGACGCGCTTTGCAAGCGGTTTGACTAGACGTACCAGAAGTAGTTAACAGCGGTAAAGCCACGCGATAGCTTTTGCTTTAGCACGTATGGGCCGGCTTAAGCCGGGGAGGTACCACGACCTCACTGAATACCGGCGTTAAGTGGAAGCTCTGCTTATGCATTTCATCTAGCAAGTACAGTTGGCTGGAAACCCAATTTCCCCCACCCATCAACATACTCGGAATCAAATGTAAGACTACCCCAGAAGGGTACCAACACCCCTAGAGAATCTACTCCACTCCTGAGCGTGAGTGCTCAGGCTGCCAGCGTATTCTGAAAGGGGGAGGGGGCAAATTCCGCTACAGACAATAACTGCTCGAGGCGAGCTGAGCAACAAGACGCTATTCACAATTTCGGCAATATATACGCCGTCCACTACCATCTCGAGACGGCGAAGCCCATCCTGCTCTTTCTGACTGAGACGCAAGTGTCCTCTCCAGCTGATACTTCGTATCTCTCCTACACAGGGTACAAACTGTAACACTCCTTTGTGCTTCGGGCTGGAGTTTGCGTATACGTCAGAGAGGACATCTGTTCTCGACGCCTTGACAGACTTAAAGGTTCGGACCTATCCATCCTTTGGCTACGCGTAGATAGCGACGAATATCCGCACGTCTACGGGTACCTCTATAGATCCCATAGCCGAAACAGACCGATTCATCGACCACGTCCAAATGGCTACAGATTCCATGCTACAGCAAATCCCATCCGCAAAGATCGTGATCCACGGCGATTTTAACGCCCATCACGCTGAATGTCTCGGTTCACGTTTAACCGATCATGCGGGGAGATCTGTTCACGACTTTGCCTTGGAATATGGTCTGACACAACTGGGTACTTTACCTCCGCGGATTCCAGATGTGGAGGATCATGCACCTTACCTGTTGGACATTCTGCTGACCTCTCATTCGGACAGATATCAGGTCGCCGTCGACGCCCCTCTTTACTCCTTGGACCATTGTCTAATCCGGAGTGTAACTCACGCTGAAATCGCGGTTGCATTATGTAGTTTGCCGCCATGTTTGGCACTATAGGTCGGCCGATTGGGATAGGATGCGGTCTTTTTTAGCATTATACCCTTAGGGGCGGGTTTGATTTTCGCCGGACGACCACAACGTAGTTTGTATTTCTGTCAATGATTTATTACTTCAGGGTATGAAACTTTTTATTCCTTCCTCTGTGGTGCCCATCGGAGGCAGATCTCAGCCAAGGCTAAGTCGCTCCTGTAAAATAGCATCATGTTATAAAGCAGGAGTGCTACAGGGCCTGGGCTGACGCATCAACTTCCCAAGATATAAACAGCAACGCCCTAAAAAAGAAGTATAATTCCGCCTCCAGGTCCTACAAAAGAGTGATCGCCAAAGCAAAGTCAGAGCACATAGGCAGAATTGGCGAGAAACTAGTTCGCCTTCCTTCTAGAACCCGTGCATTCTGGTCTCTCGCCATTTCTGTCCAAGGGAATTTCTCACTGGCCCGTGCCGCAAAGGAGAAAGCCAATCTGCTAGGCTCTCTGCGTCTAACTCGACTCTCGATGACGGGGGAGCACCCCGCTAACCATCCCGCGGTGTGAGTGCTCCATGCCGGATGTGCGGCTCACATAGCGCTCGATTCGAAAATCACTCGTCTCCCTGGACATCCACATGTCGAGTGGGCCTGTCGGAATCCCCCCAATTGTGCTGAGGACGTATGCTTCAGAGATGGCACTCGTTCTATCGTCTCCTGAGGGATTATGGTTCACCTAATCTAAGGGGTTGGGTGAATTATAGCTGACAAGGTGACCGCTCAGACCCGCCTAACTACAGGCCTATCACCACCACCTCCTTGTTACATACATAAATACATAAACACTCACGCCTGTCACCCAGAGGGGTAGGCAGAGACTACGGACTTCCATTTGGCACGATCCTGACATACCTCTTTCGCCTCTTTACATCCATATATCTACGCATACATGCTCGTCGGTTAAGGGTACTTCTAACGTGGCCCATTTTCAAAATATCGCCAATTTGGTCGATAAACTTTTTCCTAGGGCGTCCCTTCCCGACTCGGCCATTCACATCTGCCATATAAATTTGCTTTGTCACTCTTTCCTCATTCATTCTTTCTACGTGACCAAACCACCGAAGCATTCCTTTCTTAATCCTGGTCACAACATCATCTTGCATACCACATTTATCTCTTATCACGCAATTTCTCACCCTGTCATTCATATTACACCCTAGCATATTCCTTAAAGACCGCATTTCTACAGCATTTATTCTACTTTCGTGCTTCTTCTGCCACACCCAGCTTTCACTACCATACATTAAAGTAGGGACTAACACAGCATTATGAATTATCATACGTGCCTGTTTTGACACATTCTGGTTCTTCATAATAGAGTGTAGTGCCCCATTCACTCTATTCCCTGCATTTACTCGTCGTTCTATATCCCTATCATATCTACCATCCCTGCTAAATACACATCCCAAATGATTTCTTATATTTACGCGAACACTAAACATTGAAATAATACTAGTTTTTACGGAATTTATCGCGTATATTTAACTTTTTATTTACCCGACGTTTCGAGAGCTTTACAGCACCCATGGTCACGGGAAGGACTGAGATGTTCAACGTCCAGCTGTCATAGTTAACCGCGGTTACCATAGATTAAAATTTAACTTTTGTTCCGATCTATACAGTATGAACTTATGGTATCATGGAGTCTTGCAGTTGTATGCTTGGGTTGGGATTTAATTTTATTTATTATAGGATCCCAAGCAGATGGTAGCACCCAGCCATCTTCTCTATTGAAATTAGGATGTTTTTTGATTTCAATAGCCTCGCGAATCATCCTTGGAAGGAATCGGTGTTCTTTAGCGAGGATTTGTGGTCTATCAAATCTGATGTAGTGACGGGGGCGATCCTGTACATGTTCACAGACTGCAGACTTCCCGGAGCGTCGATTCTTCACATCAGCTATATGTTCTTTGACGCGTCAATTAATTAGTCGGGTAATTAAAAAGTTAAATATACGCGATAAATTCCGTAAAAACTAGTATTATCTCAACACATCCCAAATACACAAACTCATCCACTTGCTCAATCAACTCTCCTTCTATTCTTATTTCACATACCGTTTTGCTTTCTTCTCTTTCAAAAACCATCACTTTCGTCTTACTTGCGTTCACTTTCATTCCCCTTTCTTTTAATTCCCAGTTCATTAATGTAACCATCATTTGCAACTCTGCCGCCGATGACGCAAGTATGACTTGATCATCGGCATACAAAAGGCATTTGACGGTTAACTCGCCCATTCTTAACCCACATTCTTCATCTTTCAAAGTTTGCAAACACCGGTCCATAAATAGGTTGAACAGCCAAGGGGAAGCCACACAGAACTGTCTGACACCTTTTTGGATGCCAAACCAGTCCGAGTAGATCCCATTGATCCTGACACAAGCACTAGAGTCCCTATAAAGAGACCTTAATGCCTGTATCAAACCAGCGCTCAACCCATATGAGTTCAGTGTTTGCCATAACACATTCCTGTCCACTCTGTCATAAGCCTTTTCCAAGTCCATGAACGCACAAAAAACTTTCTGGTTTTTGGCCAAAAACTTCTCCGCAATCATGCGCATGGAAAAGACTTGATCTGTACACCCCATTCCCTTTCTAAAACCCGCTTGCACATCCCAAATTTTTTCCATCAGTTTCTTTCATAACTCTTTCAATTAACACCTTAGCATACAGTTTACCCACAATACTAAGCAAGCTGATACCGCGGTAGTTTTTGCAGTCCTGCTGTGACCCTTTTCCTTTATATATTGGTACTATAACTGCTTTACACCAGTCATCCGGTACCCGTTTTAATTCCCAACATAAATTAAACAAGGTGTACAGCAGGCCTGCCACCACTCCCTCTCCAGCCCTTAGCATCTCGAGTGATACTCTATCATATCCAGCTGCCTTACCTGCTTTCATGCTTTTCATTGCTTTCATTATTTCATCTACACTTATCTCCATACCCCTTTCCACTTCTTTCGGAATTTCTAGTTCATTTAATTCATACGACTCTTCACTCATAAACACGCTTTCAAAGTATTCCTTCCATCTGTTTAAATTCGAAACTTCATCATTCAGAATACATCCATTCTCGTCTCTTATAGCATTTATTATAGGCTGTTTTGTATTTCCCCTGGCAGTTCTTACGAGTTTCCAGAACATTTTTACGTTAGCCTGGAAATTATCAGATATCCTTCTATCATTCTTATCCGTTCTTTCTTTCTTTTTCCTTTCAACAACTTCTTTTACTCTCTTATTTAGACGTCTAAATTCTGCCTTTTTTCTTTCAATCTCATCATTCATACCAGAAGAATTACCAGCTTTGGTTGCTAGTAAATCTAACCATGCTTTCTTCTTTGATTCAACTTCCACCCGTACCTCATCATCCCACCACAACGTATTACTTTTCCTTTCATTTGTTCTCTTACCTACACCGCATACTTCGGTGGCGGTATCCACCAAACCTTTCTTAATATTATCCCACACAGTATTCAAGTCTAAATCATTCATACACAACTCATTCAAACATCAAATATTTTCTCTCAGTCTACATTTATACTTCTCTATCACATCTTCATCTTGTAACTTCTCTATTCTTATACGCTGTAACGCAGTGGTAGATACAGATGTCCGATGCCGCCAACGCTTGAAAAGACCATTAATTCGACATAAGACCAACTAATGATCCGTCCCTACGTTGGACCCCCGGTAAACCCTTGTATCTACGACTGCGCTCCTCATTCTTTCATCCACAATTACGAAATCTATCATGCTTCTATCATCACCTCTTTCCCATGTATACATGTGAATCTTCTTATGACGAAAAAAAGTATTCGTCACAAAAAGATTCTTTTCCGCACATACGGTGAGGAGGTCTTCACCATTCTCATTCATACTTTCATCACCAAACGTTCCCAATATCCTTTCATAACCAGACCTCTTCACCCCAACCCTTCCATTAAAGTCTCCTAACATAATAATATTTTCATTTTCCTTACATTTTGTCAACACCATCCTTACCATGTCCCAAAACTGCTCTCGGATGTAAGTGGGCTTAGACATGTCTGGGGCGTACACCCCTAGCAGGAACAGCTTCTTTAAGCCCACTTTCATTCGTATCCATAGCAGTCTCGGGCTTACACATTCATACTCTTTCACACATTGACCCATTCTTTCTGAAAGGATGAAACCGACTCCCTGGCATGCCCGTTCGGTCTCGCCTACACCAGACCAATACGCGGTATACGTGCCATGTGCAGTGGCATCCTTTCCCTTTCGTTTCGTCTCATTCACACATAACACATCTATTCCTCTGTCATTCATCATTTCGCATACTTCATCCATCTTATCATTCATTCCTCCACATACATTCAGCGTAGCCAGACGGGTTTCCGCAATCCACTTTTCGCCCCTCCGGGAGACAGAACGTGACGGGTGGCGAACCTCGTCGCCGTCACCTCCTTGTTCTCCAAAATAATTGAATCCATTATAAACTGCCAGCTGATGCGGTCTCTTGAGTATCACCAGTAGATTAGTGATCGGTAATACGTTTTTGTCAGGTTTAATCAGCTGGCAATCTTCTGGTCTGCCTGACTCCAATCCAATCTGGTGTTTTGGTCCAAGGGGGAGGCATTGGCCGTTAGTTTGGACATTGCGAAGGCCTGCGATCGGGTTTGGCACAGAGCGCTTCTTTCTAAGCTCCCTTCCCAATGGCCTCCCAAGAAATTGAGCAATTGGATTACCAGTTTTCTTGCAGATCGAAGCTTTAGGGTTGAGTCTTTGCTGAACAAAGTCTGGATTGGGGCGACTAAATCTAGTCTAGTTCAATCCCCAGAAGACACAAGTTGGCGCGTTTATCGCTAAAAAGAACCCTTTTGTCGTATCTCCTCAGTTTCAAGACACTCCCCTTGCTGCCTCAACTGGTATCGGAATTCTCAGTGTCGACATATCGTATAGTGTGCAGGTTCATGGTCACTTGGAGGGGAAGGCCAAATCGGCCTCTAAGAAGCTTGACGTGCTCAGCACAGCGGGACAGTATTTCATGCCAGCACATCGCTTGCAACTTTCTTACTGTTCTCATCTCTGGGCCGGGGCACCCCAGCGCCAGCTCCTTCCACTTGACCGTATCCAGCGCAGAGCGATTCGAATCGTCGACGACCAAGTTTTTTCTCATCAGCTCGATTCACCGGCGCTGCGTAGGGATGTTGCATCCCGTCATTGCGTTTTCTATCGCATCTACCATGGGAAGTGTTGTGAAGAATTGTTCGGATTAGTTCCAGACGCCAAATTTCACGAACGCACATCGCGTCAAAATTCACGATACCATCCTCACCATCTAAATGCTTGGCGGTCCATCACTATGCGATTTACTAGGATTTTTCTTCCTCGTACAAGCTCTCTGTGGAATTGTTTACTACATGGCACATCGCGGCAATACTCCCAATACCACCCACACCATCTGGTTGCTCGGCGGTCCACCACAGTACGTTTCACTAGGAGATTTCTTCCTCGTACGACGTTTCTGTGGAATAGTTTACCACCGTCCGACTAAGGAACCGATACGACTTAGGGGCCTTCACGAAAAGAGCTCATTCCTTTCTAAAAGGCCTTCAAAGCACCTGCAAGTCCCCTGGTGTTGTAGTTGTTCATGGGCGGTGGTCCTATAGAAAAGGCAGACGTAAGCACTTCAGATGCTGACTCCTATCGTCGGTCTAGATATTTGTTTTTACAGAATAAGGTTGATCAACGAGCACACAGTCCACCTGATTTCTTCATTACACCAACCATTTCTGTATTACATTTCACCATTCATTACGCATGTGATGTTTATAGGGGATAGGGAGTTGAACCAAATCTCAATCGTATGTAGAGGAGAGGGAAGGTCTCGGCAAATATCGCCAAAAGTTTCTTCCACAAGAAACAGTTCGAAATTTCTAGAATATTAGGTGAAATTTAATAAAATATGACTAGATTCTACACAATAATATTTATCGCGGTTATGTGAACACCACAAATTATATAAAAATAATTAAGCAAATATTTTTTTAATAATCCCAACTAATCAAGTACAGATCAGCGTATTTACACAAAAGATACGCATATTATAAAATGTCACTTGACATTTGAAGCAGGAGGAGGGGCTCGAGCCAAATCTCACCCCGACAATACATGTTGGTCAAGCCTCAGCCAAAGCGAGCGTATGCAAATTGATACAAGGCGATTGCTACAGTCTACACGTTGGTCAAGTTCGAAAGAGACAAATGCCAAGGCCAATGTTCACAAGTTTTTACGGAGCTATCCACATGTTTGCCGTAATTAGTTATCATTGAGAATTGGTATGATATGGTCGACGTAGAAGTTATTGCAGCTTATGCTATTTATTTAATGAGTGCATTTAATTATTATGTCGGTGTACTTCGCAGTAAAGTTATTAAAAAGAAGAGGCAGAAAAAAGGTGATGTTCAGTACTATAATTTAAACATTATCTGACCGGGATGGACGCCAAGCTGTAACTGACATGGCCGACTAACATGTGGACGCGACTTGCCGATTGCAGGCCAGTGTCTTTGATTAGTGCAGAAAAACCGTCACTGTTCCGAAGTGGACGAATCGTAGCAAGCGATCCCGAGAGAACCGTATACACGTTGGCGCTTGCCTGTACTAGGCCAACTAGGCGAGCGTCGACGAGCATTGGTGAGGCTGGACAAATGGGCTGTCCATACGTTGGTGGCTCGCCTTCGCTCGGCCAACATGTATAGCCGGCTTTATGATATCTCACAAGGGGAAGGGCGAGGATAGAAAAATCTCCAAAATCGGTTCACGTAATTAGTGGTGACCCCCATACTGAGACCCAAGACTGACATCCATCCATCTACTATATATATCCTTGATATATGTACCTGCAGGGTAGCTCTCCCACGTATTTAACTAAGATGGTTGGATTACCAGTTAAAGGTCTGAGGTTTCCATGCTCACCATTTAAAATTATATTACATCAGAACGTGATATTTACGCGGTCGAAGCGACTCATTCGTGCTGCTGCCAATACGGATGCAGCACATTAAATATTTAAAAAATATTAGTGTTAAAGTAGGAAAAATTCGCTTACGGATTCCATAGTCGCTTTCATTTGATATATCTTCCTATTGAGGTCGTTCTTAATGCCTTGCATTTCGACGAAATCCTTTTCCAGGATACCTTGCAGATCTGCGCAGTTAAAACAAAGATGGTTACACATGCATTGTCACCCATTGAACTAAATCGCGAACATGCGAACATACGTGTAAGGAGGTACAGAGAGATTAAGTAAATTTGTGCCCATAGGCTCAAAATACCATGATAACTTCTCAATGTGGCACCTGCAGCCAATTTCAAGGAAATAACGCTACAAATGAGTTGTCACCCTTGATGACTAAGGTGAAGATCCTTGCAGCCTGTAGTTATACTAGCAAGCACTGCTATTTGGTGCCAAAAATAGTTACGAGGGTGGAGCCTTCCTGGAAGGACTCCCAGACAAAAAAGGAGTCCTACCACCTATTACCCACTTCCTTACAGGTATTTCTGGAACCTCTTCACTACCCTCTAAGGACTAATGAAAGCATCACCACCTGTCTTTATACTGGCTCTCTTACGCTTCAGACCGAAACACAGCTGTGGTTGCATAACTGTGTAGCGACAGATATAGCCAAGACGGTAATACCACAGATTAAATTTATAGTATCTAGAGTTGCCGGTTCCCATATTATATTTTAAATCGTTTGATAAAATTATATAAAGGACATAGGGTAAAAATTAAAAATACCATATTGCTTTCAATAAAATGCTGTTATGGTATCAATAAGGATTTTTATTAATAAAAAAGCTATGTTGATAGCACATTGTTATGGCAAAGGGAATGTTGAATATGCGCGATATTGCCTTATCCTCCATTAAAAAATGTCAATTAAATGACAGGATTAACCTTTGGGTATGAATATTATTATAATATTATATTAATAATATTATAATATTATAATTTATAATATTAGAAAATAATAATGTAACTTCCTATAAAATAAATGACGTCTGGTAACCCTAGCAGTACTAATACCTACTGAGAAGACTCCTAGGAGTAAAATATTTATAATAGATTGTTAAGACTATGATGATAATGTGCTCCCATGTAAAGTAACTCGCGGCATTTCACAAGTACCTACATTTATAAACGTTCATGCAAATTTAGTTAATTTTCTTTGAATATTCGATCCAAAATTAAAAAGACAGCGTAGTTATTCGCCAAACAATTATCATAAGACATTTATATTAGTATTTTTAAAATGTAATTTAAATTGTGTTTTGTTATTTAAAATCCTATTTTATCTTTTCACTTGATGTCCTTGTGACCTTTACCGTAACAGCAACATTAAACAGAAAGCCAGCAACAAAATAGAAACAAAAATTGACGGGAGCTAGCAACCGGTTATTAACTGTCTTTCTGAGTATCTTTAATACCATTTGAGACCAGCAATAAAATAATTACTGAATTAGCGTGACAAACAAGCGCACAGTCCACCCGATGTTAAATAAACGCTGTTGCCTACAATCATCTACGTCTATCCTTGATTAAGGATCAAGATGCAGATATGTTGTTACCCCCATAGAATACTATACTACACAATAGAATGGCTGCCAACCTTATTTTATAAGAGAATTGGTGTCGCCCGGAGCACACATACAAGCAGATAATGGTATCACAGCCAGGGATGTAGTCTTGTTTAGAGATTTGCCGGTAACCGGTTACCACCGGTAAAACTTGAGTCTATATATATATATATATATTGAAATATTTGAATAACATTTGCAATTTAATGTTTTAATAGTCGACAGCACCTCAATTAGTTTTACAAACTCCTGGTAAATACGAACTGGTATTCACTATTATATTTTAAATTAATTTTATGTTAAAAAAACTTCAAAATTAGGTATATATTAGGTAAACTGAAATGGACCGTAACTTAAGGCAATAAGACTTTTAAGAGTGCAGTTTTATTTGTATTATTACTAATTCTGTCATTCAATAAAAATAAAGAACAATGAACTTTATTTAAAGCACGTTAAAGTCTTTGCGTTCGTGGATTTGTACTGTGACCACAACATTCTTCCGGAATTAGTATAACTAATTTGATAAATAATCAGTGCATAAAAATGTTTAACTAAAAATTCAGTGTATGCATTATGATTATAACATAATATACTAATTGGAGAGTGAATGGGGCACTACACTCTATTATGAAGAACCAGAATTTGTCAAAACAGGCACGTATGGTAATTCATAATGCTGTGTTAGTCCCTAGTTTAATGTATGGTAGTGAAAGCTGGGTGTGGCAGAAGAAGCACGAAAGTAGAATAAATGCTGTAGAAATGCGGTCTTTAAGGAATATGCTAGGGTGTAATCTGAATGACAGGGTGAGAAATTGCGTGATAAGAGATAAATGTGGTATGCAAGATGATGTTGTGACCAGGATTAAGAAAGGAATGCTTCGGTGGTTTGGTCACGTAGAAAGAATGAATGAGGAAAGAGTGACAAAGCAAATTTATATGGCAGATGTGAATGGCCGAGCCAGGAAGGGACGCCCTAGGAAAAAGTTTATCGACCAAATTGGCGATATTTTGAAAATGGGCCACGTTAGAAGTACCCTTAACCGACGAGCATGTATGCGTAGATATATGGATGTAAAGGAGGCGAGAGAGGTGTGTCAGGATCGTGCCAAATGGAAGTCCGTAGTCTCTGCCTACCCCTCTGGGTGACAGGCGTGAGTGTTTATGTTATGTTATGTTTATACTAATTGGGGTGTCTGAGGGTGTGCGTTCATTACGTTACATATTGTATATGTATATATATATATATATATATATATATATATATATATATATATATATATATATATATTCACTAAACATGTTGTAATCTGTTGTTTAATGTTGTCCATTTATTTATTAAGAAAATATGCCCTAATGGCCCTACCACGTGTACAATATCTGCATCTTGTCTACGAAAACGAAGACAGATGATAGTACTAAGGAAACATTTTGGGACGAAAAGAAAATCGGTATTGGTGAAAAAAAATCTTTTACAACGTTTAATTAGCTTTATTCACGCTTCATCGTGTTAGTGCAGCTAAATGAAACGATAATTTCATTAAAAAAAATTATGAAAATACCCAAACATAAACCAGCAGTGAAAATTAAACCTGAAATAAGCTGATTATGGGCTCAAAAAACGCGCGGACGCTGAACTATTTTATCTAGCTCGATGCGAATCAATGCAATAGGCATTACTGTATTCACGCTCACTCTATCCTTCCCTTTCACACACGCTCTGCCGCCTCCCGGCCGGCTCGTGTCACCTCGCAATTTACACCTGTTTAGCGTTGCCAACATGTGAGGAATTCTCCAAATTACGGGGAATTTAAAATTGGTTGGGGATTTTTTGGGGATTGCTATTATGCGGGGATTTTGAAAATCGATTGCCTAGGTCAAGTCAGAACATTTTTTCTTAACATCTTAATATTTTTGTTGCTTGTTGTTGAGGTTACTTATGAATATCGAATGACTCCCTTTTTTTAATTATCATCTTGCACCACATTTAATGTTCGGATTTAACTTTAACTTTTATGTATCATTTAATGCTTTACATTTCTTTTTTTTTATAGCAGAGTAAATGCAGCTACTCTGGTCCTTTTTAATGGCAACAAGGGAACTTATTAAAAATTCACCATTGGGTAAAATGCTTGTAACAAAAATATGGAGTGTTTCGGTAAAAAAGAAAAAAATAGTTAAAAAATAAATCTTATAAAATTAATTGAAAATTGTTTCATTACCTAAAATAAAATTGATGGGAATTTGAAACGTACATTCGGGGAAATAGACAAATAGGTCAAATTTTAGTAGGTTACCGCATATGTTGCAGTGTTGCCAAATCGAAATTAGTTTTTGAGATAGTTCCGTGTTGACCTGCGCATGAACGATACGACAGTTCAAAATTTTTGTTGTTATTACTACTCATTACTTATTGTTACCCTGTATGTATATATATATATATATATATATATATATATTGTTTTCATAGACGAGGTATAAAAATATATTGATTCACTCAATATTTCCATAAACAAAGACTTACCATGCCGCGCGAGTGCGTCCGGTTCGTCCGGCTCTGCAGGCGGCTGCAGTCGCTCCCTGCTGCACGCTATAATAGAATATGGGCTTTAATTCCATAACATAAAGTTGAAATTTCAAGTATTATATTTATTTGAAACGTCATCTTTAAATAAAAATGGAGAAGATCACCAGATCACATCTTCTTGGTGTGTGATTCTTCTTTTGGGATGGAAAAAGGAAAAGAAAAGAAGGAAAAATCAATTATTTCTATATGAAGGTATTGCATATGCATGTAGAGATGTTCGAAAAATTGATAGCATTATTTAGAAATCGGTTGTTGACAAATTTTTGTGCATCTATTTAGCGCTATAGTGGCGCCACAACCTTATCTCGTTGCGTGAGTATATTTACTTAGTTTTATTCACAAAGGTGGACTTAAAGACTAATAGCAAACTCTACCAAGGCAAGCACGGAAGATAATGGGTACATGGTGTAAACAACTACAATATGTAAATATCTATGTACGAGTGGGATGGATATATGGGATATATGGGAACACTAATGGTAGCGTTGCTTATCAGCCCGTAACAGTATACCACTAGACTTTGCGTCTCTCATAGTAAGGAGGTGTTCATTTAAATATCACAGAGTATACATTATATAATTAACAAATCAGGAGACGGTTAACAGCCTCTTCCTAATAACATCAAAAAAAATGCATTTGCCAACCCGCCTACCAAGCGTGGCAACTAAAACAAATATCCCCCCATGATCCACTGGGGATGTAGATTCAGTTTTTGTTAGGCTATAATGGATAGATGAATGAATAGATGTGAAACATTATAAGAGAAAAACCTTTGTGACAGACACAAAGATCAATGTAACGTGGTATTTTTTATAGAATAAGGATGACAAACGGGAGAGTTCACCTGATGGAAAGCGGATGCTGTGGCCCATAGACATCTACATTTATCCTCGATTAAGAATCAAAACTCAGATGCGTTGTCATCAGTGAGGACTAAGATGGAATTCCTCGTTTCCAGTAAATGGGTTTCCTGAACTCTCCACTCACCATACGAAACACAACAGTCTTAAGCTGCTATTTTACGCTAGTATTCTTTAAGAGCGTGGTCCTTCCCAGGTTGAACCGACCATAATATAGTAGCAGCATGGCTCTACCACGTATAAAGTGATAAGTATTTTATTTGTATGCAATTAAAAAAAATAAGAACGTGTGCGTATGCGATTCAGTATACTGAAAACTATTAATATTGAAAATTTAAAGAACCAATTCAAAGAAAAATTTCTCAAGTATTAAACCAAAAAATGCCACATATCACGGTCTTGGCAACTACAAACCTTTCCACCCTGGCGTCACACCTGCTCGTGGTTTGGGACCGCTCACACTTCGCTCACCTACTGGTACGAGGCTACCAATCGAGAACATTTCTTCCCCATCCGCAGTCGGTTATTTAAAATTCGATTTGGTGAAAGCCAATGACAATTAAACTTATCGATCCTTTGAGCTATGTCGGTTACTCTGATTCTAATGCGGATTTTTTTCACGCAGAGAAACTTCAAGCATAACCTCCATATCTCGCTAAGCAAATTGAAGTTTCTCCATACGGCCAGCAGTGAATAACAACGTGTTAGATCCACAAGTTATTCTGGCAAAGCGCACGTTTGCTACACTCTTATTTTCATGTTTTGAGGAATACGTGATAAGGTGTGTCGTAATCTCCCCAACCCTGCTCAGCAAAGTTCAAGCAATCTCGGTCGAAGTTGGACTCGTTTAAAGAATCAATAAAACCTTTTTTAAACTCTAAAGTGTAAACGTACATTAAATGTTTTATTAAAGAAATATTGTACAAACAGGTTATTATAATATCTAAGAATACATAAATGAAAATAACCCCTGGAAAGGTGGTATAGTGGCAACCACCTCATTGGTGGTTACCACCATTCTGGTTCTAAAAATCTTTAAAAATAATTGTACAAAATTATTGTAAAGTAAAATATGTTTTAAAAAATTATACCGTTGGGTTTCTTGTTAGTTCTCCCCATGACAGAAGTATTTTCCCAACCAGTGGTAAATAAAAAATTGTCTTTCAATAAATATTATGTCATCAACATCATCATCATTACAGCCCTTTACAAGTCCACTGCTGAACATAAGCCTCCCCCAAGGTATGCCCCAAAGCACGGTCCTGAGCCACCTGCATCCATCGACTTCCTGCATGTCTTACTAGGTCGTCACTCCATCTAGTGGGGGGTCGTCCTACACTTCGTCTACCGGTACGAGGCTGCACTCGAGAACTTTTTTTTTCCCCTAACGGTTGTCGGTTCTTCGAGCTATATGGCCGGCCCATTGCCACTTCAGCTTACTAATCCGTTGGGCTATGTCGGTCACTCTGGTTCTACTGCGGATATCCTCATTTTTAAGTTTATCACGCAGAGAAACTCCGAGAATAGCGCTCTCCATAGCTCGCAGAGCGACTTTGAGCGTCCTCATCACTGGCAACACGCACTGGTTGTACAACTTAGTTTTCAGGTTTTGAGGTATACCTGACGAGATTATGTGTCGTAATTTCCCGAACGCTGTCCAGACAAGTTGAATCCGTCGATTGACTTCTCGGTCGAAGTTGGATTTACCTAGTCGGACTACTTGTCCCAGGTAAACGTACTCGTCAACAACTTCGAGCTTAGTGCTCCCAACAACTACCGGCATAGGTGTGACATGGACATTAAACATGATCTTTGTTTTGTACATGTTCATCCGTTGGGAGGCACTATTGAGGTCATTGAGCATGGCGCTTAAGTCCTCCAGAATTCTGCCATAAGGACTATATCGTCGGCAAATCGAAGGTGAGTGATGTACTCGCCATTGATGTTAATACCGTATCCTTTCCAGTCCAGTATCTTGAAAACATCTTCCAATGCAGCGGTGAAGAGTTTCGGAGAAATAACGTCACCCTGTCTTACACCTCTCTGCCGTTGGATAGGTTTCGTACTCTATTTCTGTACTCGGATAGCCATCGTAGCCCTACTGTACAAACACTTCAGCACTTCGATATACCAACAGTCAACTTGGCACCGCTGAAGAGACTGTAGCACCGCCCAAATTTCGACGGAATCAAAGGCTTTCTCATAGTCCATATACGCCAGACAAAGTGGCAGATTGTACTCTTCGGACTTGTGTACAATTTTCTGAAGGATATGTATGTGATCTTTGGTACTAAAGCCTTTTCGGAAACCGGCTTGTTCGGAAGGCTGGAAGTCGTCCAGTCTGCGTGCGAGACGGTTCATAATGACTCTCGAATACAGCACGTAGACGCAACACAGAAGGGATATCAGTCTGTAGTTTTTCAAGAGGGCGTTGTCACCTTTCTTGAAGAACAAAACCACCGCACTTCTGCTTCACGCCTCCGGAGTAGTGCCACCATGGAGGACGGAATTAAAGAGCTTCTGAAGGACTTCAAATACCGGTTTTCCACCGGCTTTCAGAAGCTCCGCTGTAATTCCATCCTCGCCCGGGGACTTACCGTTTTTGAGGTGCTGGAGAGCCATTCTAATCTCGCTCAGACTGACGTCCGGGATATCATCGGAATAGTGTCGGATAAGACTTGTTCTTGGATCATTACTCACACTTGCGTGAGTCTCCAACGATGATGTATACAGCTGCCCATAGAACCTCTCAATCTCACTCAGAATCTCAGGTGTCCCGGAAACGATGCTGCCACACTCAGTCTTCAGCTTTGACAGTTGGCTCTTACTGGCAGACAGATCTCTGGCAAAGACTTTGGAGCCTTGGTTCCGCTCAATCGCTTCTTCAATACGAGTAGTATTAAAGTTGCGTAAGTCTCGCTGCCTGCATTTAGTTTGGAGATCTGTCTGTTCAGTTGCCTGTATACTGTCACATCTGTTAACGATTGCAGCCTTATCTCCCGTCTAACAGCCATGAGATTAAAAATGTGATCGGAGAGTTTTTGGGTTCCTCTGCGGCGGGTTTTGCAAAACTTAGCTCCGACCGCATGGACAGTTTCCACGAGCTTGTCATTCATATCATCCACTGCATTGCAATCTTCTAGGCACTGAAAGCGGTTACGTAACTCGAGCTGAAATGTTTCGGGATTCTGGATAAGAGCACGAGGGGGACGGAGCGTTGACTTCATTAGACGAGACCTCTCCAACTTAACGTTTAGGTTCAGTGTGACTCTAACCATTCGGTGATCGCTGCCAGTTTTCACCCTTGCGATCACTTAGATATCACTGAACAGTTGGCGTCTGGTCGTTATAATGAAGTCAATCTCATTTTTTGTCGAACCGTCGGGGCTCGACCAGGTCCACCTCCTGTGGGGCCGCTACTGGAAGAAAGAGTTCATCATAAAGAGTCCCTCTTTCTCCATAAAGTCGGCCAGCTACTGGCCCCTAAGGTTCCGTTGCCCTACTCCAAATTTCCCTAACTTCAGCTCACCGCTTTCTCTTGTGCCTAGTTTTGCGTTGAAGTCTCCCATCAACATCGTGTAGTGGGTTTTGGAATAATGCGTGGCGCTAGAAATATCCTCATATATTTCCTCCATCTCCTCATCGGGATGTGCCAAGGTTGTTGCGTAAACCTGTATGACCTTCAGCGAATACCGTTTGGTAATTCTGAGTATCAGGTACGCGACCCTCGTCAACACACTCCCAATGTTTACAACGTTGTTGACGAGAGACTTGTGGACGATAAATCCGACACCTCCTTGGGACAGATGGTCGCCCTCCCGGTGATAGAACAAGTTGCCGGACTCGAGGATTACCGTGTCCTCCCCTCTCTTCGGACCTCGGATAACCCAATAATATGCCAGCGCAACTTGTCTACCTCTTCTTCCAACTCCAGTATCTTCTCGTCAGTCCTCAGGATGTCGTAGGTGGCAACCGAACCTCCACCGGAGATTCTTAGCACCCCCTGCCCCGCCGTTACCATGGTCGTTACCGTAGCCAGGAATAGCGGGGCCGCCGGGGACTGGGGGCCGTTTGTTTGCGTCGTTACTCATGGGGGGATATTTGCCATAGTTGCCACGCTTGGCGAGTGGGTTGGCAACCGCAGTTTTTTATTATATCATTGCTGTTATCAGGAAGATGCTGCTGCCCATCTCCTGCCTGTCTCCCTCTGTCGCCTCTTACGACACCCACGGGAAGATATGTTGTGTGTGTCGTAACAGGCGGCAGAGGGAGACATAGTAAGTGAATATTCTTAACCGCCACTACACGGCCAACAAGTATTATGTAATAATCTATGTTTAGGCCAAATCATGGCAACTTGAAACTTGCAAGGCGCTCATCTCGGGCGAGGAACCGGTTGGCGGATTGCGCGGGGGGCTTTCGTCTTGTAACATGCAACCGCGCCAGTTAGTCTAGAATAATCTCTTGTGCGCGACGGCCGTGTCGGTTGGAAGTCGGGAAGTTAAGTTAGAATAGTTAGGTCTCGTTAAGACTGCCTCCTTTGCGTTGTTTTATTTTTTTTGTATACGGGACAACAAGGCTTTCGTTGAGTCTTGAGTGGCTAATTTAACTTCGATTGTCGTTAATTTGCATCGACACGTGGCTTGTGTCATATTTTAATATCGTACTAAGTAATTTTGCTTGTCGATAGGAAAGCTAAACTTTGTAACCCGGGTGGAGATCGCGTTCGATTATAGTTTGTGCTAAGTGACGTTAAACTTGAGTTCAGATAGCGGTGAACGCCCACTGGAGTGATTGCGCCTTGTGGAGCGGCGCAACGCATGTGATTCTACTGGCCGATTACATCGGTGACGTCAGATTATATTACACACCTTCCTACACCACTCACACCTAACATTTAGTTGCCCCTGACGGTACCTTGTGGTCGACCCTACCTCCGGAACTCGGTGAGTTTGTGTTTGCTTATACAGCCATTATAATTCAATTTCCATAGGCCATTAGGGCCCGCACCCTCGGTTGCTCGTCGAGTTGGGTTACGATGAGCCCTAGCCCAGTCGACTTTTGTCGGTGCAACTGAGGGCCGTAACAATCTATATATTGGATAGAAGTTTTATTCTATTCTATTCTATATATACATACATAGCCACCTTTCAGAAGCACCAGAATAAGATGAACTTCTTGGTCCTTAAACGTGGAGATATGTATCAAATATCGGATGCATTACAAATGGGAATTAAATTAGTATGAAGCTCATACAGCGGTCGGCAATCAGCGCCGGCGCCCAGCAGGCCGGTCTACGCGCGCGCCGCGCGTTGCGTGGCGCCGGGGGTACCGGGCCGTGCACTTCCTCTAGAGCTACGCGGCACACGTACTCGCAGCACGTGATCAGTATCTCGCCGCACTTGAAGCTGGAACAATCCCTGCATCGACCAACCCCTAGTTTTTAAAACTGAAGGTAGCCTATAAAAAGTTTCCTTATAGACCACACAGCTGAGTAAGGTATTTGGGAGTATTGTTGCCGTCTCTACCCAGCCCAGCGTGCACTGGCGAGATAGCACTCATTTACCAACATTTCCACGAGTATATTTAATGTTTTCTTAGTAGACAATTATTCAAACAATATGTTAGATATATGAATTTTTCTTTTCATATAGAATATTCGATATTTTTTCTATGTCTGTGTTTTTTCTACAATTTGTTCTTAATTGATTTACTGTCTTAAGATATTAGAATGAAGTGGGGTTTATTATCAAAAATCTCACGAAATGAAAAGGAAACGAAAATCTGACAAACCACACCTCATAGATATTACTTTATAGATCGTTTTTACAATGTTTTTATTTTTTATTTTAAATGGTTTATATCCAATCTATGATCAAACTTCTTTTGCGTGAAGCTACCTAGGGAGTAACATCCCTTAATTATGGCATTATAACGTCTAACCATAGAATACTATAATACATGCATAACAGAACGGGGGAGTGGGCGGAGCTCGTGTAGCCACTAATATGTCAATTCACACCTATGAATGTCAACATAATCAATCGTTTCCATTTTTCGTGTCAAGCGTCCCTACATGCAAATTATTTAAAAATGGCAAATTGTGAAATAATTACGTCTCGAAAGAATACCGGAAAATGGAATTTAAGTAAAGGAAACCTATCCTACAACCAGTAAGTCGAAACTATTTAGTTTTGTGAATATTAGAAATAAAAATAAAGAAATATTGATGTGTCAAGAACATTAATCAAAAGTCTAAAATGTGTAAATTCGCGAATCGGGTTTGTAGTAGTGATAATCTGACGTAATTGCTTGTATGAGTGCTCCCGGCGACATCGGCCCTCGTACAAAATAAGGTTGACAGCCATTCTATAGTGTATTATAGTATTCTATGCGTCTAACACTAAGGTCTACAGCACCCCTGGTCACGGGGGACCTCAGTCCGAAAAAGTACTCGAAACTTCGCGAATACAAAATAAGTTAATATACGCGATTAAACCCGTAAGAACCAAGTTTCATTTAAAAGATTATGGTTGGGGGTATCTATATAATTTTCTCACCTGGTTGGGTTCTATAAATATATAATTATAAATTAAAATGAAAAGATAAATGTACATAAATATCAATAAAATAAAATAAATACAAAAACTACATAAATAAATAAGATCCAACCAGGTGGGAGCCCTCGGCAGGGGAGACCAGACGGCCGAGGGTTAGGGGGAAAGGGAAAGAAACCGGCGGACGATGCGGGCGGTATCGAGGAGCACCGCCTTCTGCATTTGAGCCCGGAGCGGTCCGTCACGGAGTCCCAGTCGCCTCAGATGACCCGAGAGGCTGACTGGGATTAGCCCATTCACAGAGACGACTACAGGAATAATTTCGGTCGATACACCACCCCACATGTCGGTCACCTCGTGAGCCAGGTCCAGATATTTTGTTTGTTTATCTGTTTCGGCTTTCACGAGGTTCTCGTCATACGGAATGGTAAATCAAAAATATCCTTGACTGTGCCCGGTCCATCAGCACAATATCAGGCTTATTCGCAAGAATAGTCCTGTCTGTGATGATGGCCCGGTCCCAGTAGAGCCTGGCGCGGTCATTTTCGAGCACGGCTTCCGGCAAGTACTTGTAATACGGCAATTTTCGGTCCACGAGATCGTATTTCAGAGCGAGCTCCTGGTGTAGAATTCCGGCTACTAGGTTGTGCCTGTGCAAGCACTCAGAGTTAGAAAGCGCCAAACAACCGGAGATGACATGCCTAAGTGATTCCCCAGAATGGCGACAAGCTCGACAGACGTCGACAGTGCCATCCTTTAGGATGTATCTCCGATAGTTGTTGGTCTTAATAACCTGATCCTGTATTGCACAGACAAAACCCTCGGTTTCCCCCGAAGAGGTCACCGAAACGTAGCAAGTTGATGGAGGCGGCTGTATCTACGTGAGGCTCATGTAGAGCCCTGTAGTACCTCCCAGGGAGCTCCTTCTCCTTCCATACGGTCTCCCGGTCGTAAATGCTCTGTACTGCCGGGTCTTGCCATTGCTCGTTGGCTAAGGATAGAGGGGTAAGTCCTTTATCACTAGAAATGACCTCATTATAGAATGGATCATCCGATCTCGCCAGGAAGTAATGACGGAGGCTGCACACTTCGCGATTATGCATGGTGAGCGCGCTCAGGAAGCCACGCCCACCATGCTTTCGCGGCAAGTACAGCCTCATTACCGACGATCTCGGATGATGCATCCTATGGAACGTCATTGTAGTGCGGACTTTTCTATCCAGGGCGTTAAGTTCAGTCTAACTCCACCTGAGTATGCCAAAGGTATACATGAGGACAGGCATGACCCAACCGTTATATGCATGTGTCTTATTCACACCGGACAAAAGGTTGTTAAGCACTTTGGTCAAGCGTGCATAAAACACGTCGCAAACTGACTGTTTCATACCAGCCTCATCGATACCGATATTCTGTGACATACCCAGGTATCGGTATGTTTCAGCCTCGGAAAGGGCCCTTAAGTTGACGGGCATAGATAAGTCTATGCCCTCAGAGTTAGCAACCCTTCCCCTTTCAACATGGAGGACCGCACACTTATCCGTCCCCAGCTCCATTCCAATAGAATTGCTAAGTTCACAAGTGATGTTTAGCAATTCCATAAGATGGGAGCGACTGGAGGCGAATAATTTAGTAAATAGAAAAGGAAATATTAGAAAAGATATAGAAAAGGTGGGTCACTTTTGTACCTCCCTTTCGACGCTGAAATTCCCCTCCCGGAGCCCTCCAGTAAAGTACTGAGAGGGTTCAAAGAGAGGCAAAACCAGATTGGACTCAGACAGTCGCTCTGGAATATACCCCTTCTTATCCTTATGCGGCTTTCCGCAGCCGTCATCCGCTCGCCCAGATGACAGAGGATCGTACTCCACTGCCCCATACACTGCTCGAGGAAGTCTCGAACTGTAGAGTGAATCTTGTACAGCTCGAGGACCCTCTTTAGCCATGTATGGGGCACCGAGTCAAATGCCTTTCTGTAATCTATCCAAGCGGCGGAGAAGTTCCGACGGTTGCGTTTCACCACTTTGCCAATGACCGCGTCAATGAGGAGTGGTTCCTTGGTTCCACGACCGCCGCCCCGACATCCATTTTGAGCGCGCGACATCACCTGATTTGAGTCCAGGTGACGAGCGATTCTCGCGCTCAAAATGGATGTTAGTGTCTTGTATATAGTCGGTAGACATGTGATGGGGCGGTATTTGCTCGGGTCTGTGGCACCCTGATCTTTAGGAACCAAATGAGTGATCCCAGTAGTGAAGAGGCTTGTGAGCGACTTCTGGTTGAAAGCCTCTTGAAACTGTCGGGCGAGCACAGCGTGATACACCATGAACCCCTTCAGCCAGTAGTGATGCAGCCCGTCAAGCCCCGGACTTTTCCAGTTCGGGGCCCTACGGACCGCCTCAGCTACGTCATCCGGCGTTATGGTGACGGGATCCAAGGGCGTAATACCCGCACACTGACTCACCACAACTTCCGTCCAAGGGCCCTCGCTGTGGTTTACTGGCTCTGACCACAGGCTGCGCCAGAATGCTACAGTGTAGGCCTGATTTGGTGCTGGGCCCGTTCCACTTACTACTGGTCGCTCCAATGATGCGTAGAGCCTCTTTTGATCACTCTGGAAGAGACGATTCCGGTTGAACCGTGTCGACCTCTCGGTATATCGCCGAATCCGCTTTCCCCAAGCAGCAATTCTTTGTTTCAGATCATCTATGCGCTCCGTCAGTTTTTGCGTTATATCCGGCTGGGACAAACTGATATTTGTCCCAGCAAACGCCATCCTGACGGTGCGCACAATTCTTGGCCTGTTTTTGCCTGATCTGAAGCATATCAGTCTGCCGATGAGAGCTCTAGCCTTTGCGATACGTTCCTCAATTCTTCTTCTCCATGCTGGGATAGCGCTACTATAGCCATTAGCGCGTCCAGCCGTGGAAACCTTGACGCCTATGATACGGCAGACTGCCAGCGCGGTGCCAAAAAGAATTGAGTCCATCTCTCAAAGTTCCCGGATGGCTTCCAAATAGGTCACTAGCATTGGTTTCAGAGCCCTCACGACAGCCCGATTCCGCTTGCTTAGGGCTATGCGGGGAAGTCGCGGTCGATTTTCGAGAGGCGTACTGCGCGTTTCCACAATCGCCTCTTCCAATATACTCCTCATATGCTCTAATTCAGTTCCTGGGCGACTGTTCCATCATTGTTTGAATCAACCACAACTGGGGTATTCACGACGGCATCCACGTTTGCGAGTTGCTCTATCATTTGTGGCGCTGCATCCTCAGCCGTAGCATTTTCATCCGATGAGGGAACAGCCTCACGTCGTAGCCGTTCGAGTTCGGCGACATCAAATATATTTGAGCGCAAGATATACCGAACTCGGTCTGCCAGGTTTTTATTATTAATATTATTGGGGTATTGTATATGATTAAAACTACTTTTACGGATTTTATCGAGTTTATTTTTACTTTTTATTTTTAATTCCCGACGTTTCGGGCGCTTTCCAGCACCCATGGTCACGGGGGCTGACTGCGTCCCGATGTCATTGTTAATAAATGTCATTTGTATCTGTATAGTTTTCTCATCTGGTTGGTTTCTATAAATATAAATTAAAATGAAAAGATAAATATACATAAATATCAATAAAATACAAAAAATACACAAATAAATAAAGATCCAACCAGATGGAAGCCCTCGGCAGGGGAGACCAAACGGCCGAGGGTTAGGGGGAAAGGGAAAGAAACCGACGGACGATGCGGGCGGTATCGAGGACCACTGCCTTCTGCATTTGAGCCCGGAGCGGTCCGTCACGGAGTCCCAGTCGCCTCAGATGACCCGAGAGGCTGACTGGGATTAGCCCGTTTGCAGAGACGACTACAGGAATAATTTCGGTCGGCAGACCACCCCACATGTCGGTAACCTCGTGAGCCAGGTCCAGATATTTTGTTTGCTTATCTGTTTCGGCTTTCACGAGGTTCTCGTCATACGGAATGGTAATGTCGACCAAAAATATCCTTGACTGTGCCCGGTCCATCAGCACAATATCAGGCTTATTTGCAAGAATAGTCCTGTCTGTGATGATGGCCCGGTCCCAAGAGCCTGGCGCGGTCATTTTCGAGCACGGCTTCCGGCAAGTACTTGTAATACGGCAATTTCCGGTACACGAGACCGTATTTCAGAGCGAGCTCCTGGTGTAGAATTCTGGCTACTAGGTTGTGCCTGTGCAAGTACTCAGAGTTAAAAAGCGCCGAACAACCGGAGATGACATGCCTAAGTGACTCCCCGGGATGGCGACAAGCTCGACAGACGTCGACGGTGCCATCCTTTAGGATGTATCTCCGATAGTTGTTGGTCTTAATAACCTGATCCTGTATTGCACAGACAAAACCCTCGGTTTCCCCGAAGAGGTCACCGAAACGTAGCCAGTTGAGGGAGGCGACTGTATCTACGAAGGGCTCATGTAGAGCCCTGTAGTACCTCCCGTGGAGTTCCTTCTCCTTCCATACGGTCTCCCGGTCGGAAATGCTAAGCACTGCTGGGTCCTGTCATTGCTCGTTGGCCAAGGATAGAGGGGTAAGCCCTTTATCACTAGAAATGACATCATTATAGAATATAGAAGGCTGCACACTTCACGATTATGCATAGTGAGCGCGCTCAGAAAGCCACGCCCACCATGCTTTCGCGGCAAGTACAGCCTCATTACCGACGATCTCGGATGATGCATCCTATGGGACGTCATGGTAGTGCAGACTTTTCTATCCAGGGCGTTAATTTCAGTCTGAGTCCACCTGAGTATGCCAAATGTATGCTATAAGGACAGGCATGACCCAACCGTTATATGCGTGTGTCTTATTCACACCGGACAAAAGGCTATTAAGCACTTTGGTCAATCGTGCATAAAACACGTCGCAAACTGACTGTTTCACACCAGCCTCATCGATACCGATGTTCTGTGACATACCCAGGTATCGGTATGTTTCAGCTTCGGAAAGGGTCCTTAAGTTGACGGGCATAGATAAATCTATGCCCTCGGAGTTAGCAACCCTTCCCCTCTCAACATGGAGGACCGCACACTTATCCGTCCCCAGCTCCATTCCAATGGAACTGCTAAACTCACAAGTGATTTTTAGCAATTCCACAAGATGGGAGCGACTGGAGGCGAATAACTTAAGGTCCATATAGAAAAGGTCATAATCATCCATCCATATCCATATAGAAAAGGTGGGTCACTTTTGTCCCTCCTTTCCGTAGCTGAAATCCTCTCCCGGATCCCTCCAGTAAGGTACTGAGAGGGTTCAGGGAGAGGCAAAACCAGATTGGACTTAGACAATCGCCCTGAAAGATACCCCTTCTTACCCTTATGTGGTTCTCCGCAGCCATCATCCGCTCGCCAAGATGACAAAGGATCGTACTCCACTGCCCCATACACTGCTCGGGGAACTCTCTCAGTGTACTGTCTATCTTGTACAGCTCGAGGACTCTCTTTAGCCATGTATGGGGCACCGAGTCGAATGCCTTTCTGTAGTCTATCCAGGCGGCGGAGAAGTTCCGACGGTTACGTTTCACCACTTTGCCAATGACCGCGTCAATGAGGAGTGGTTCCTTAGTTCCACGACCACCGCCCCGACATCCATTTTGAGCGCGTGACATCACCTGATTTAGCTCCAGGTGACGAGTGATTCTCGCGCTCAAAATGGATGTCAGTGTCTTATATATGGTGGGTAGACACGTAATGGTGCGGTATTTGCTCGGGTCTGTGGTAACCTGGTCTTTAGGAACCAAAAGAGTGATCCCAGTAGTGAAGAGGCTAGGGAGCGACTTCTGGTTGAGAGCCTCTTGAAACTGACGGGGGAGCATAGCGTGACACACCATGAACCCCTTCAGCCAGTAGTGATGCAGTCCGTCGAGTCCCGGACTTTTCCAGTTCGGGGCTCTACGGACCGCCTCAGCTACGTCATCCGGCGTTATGATGACGGGGTCCATGGGCGTAATACTCGCACACTGACTCGCCACAACTTCCGTCCAAGGGCCCTCGCTGTGGTTTACGGGCTCTGACCACAGGCTACGCCAAAATGCGACAGTGTTAGCCTGATGCGGTTCCTGGGCCCGCTCCACATACCTTTGGTCGCTCCAATGATTTGTAGAGCCTCTTCTGATCACTCTGGAAGAGACGATTCTGGTTGAACCGTCTTGAACTCTTGGTAAATCGGCGAATCCGCTTCCCCCAAGCAGCAATCTTTTGCTTCAGGTCGTCTATGCGCTCCGTTAGTTTCTGCGTGATATCCGGCTGGGACAAACTGATATTGTTCCCAGCAAACGCCATTCTAACGGTGCGCATAACCCTCTGTCTATTATTACCCGACCTGAAGCTTATCAGTCTGCCGATAAGGGCCCTTGCCTTTTGCGATACGGTCCTCAATTCTTTTTCTCCAGGCTGGGATGGCGCTACTTTGTTTAGTAGCGCGTCCAGCCATGGGAAGTTTGGCGCCAATAATACGGCAAGCTGCCACTGCGGCGCCAAAAAGAACTGAGTCCGTCTCGCAAAGGTCCCGGCTGGCTTCCAAATAGGTTACCAGCATTGGGTTAAGAGCCCTCACGACAGCCCGATTTCGCTTGCTTAGAGGTATGCGGGGAAGTCGCGGTCGATTTTCGAGAGGCATGGTGCGCGTTTCCAAAATCTGTACTCACAACTGGAAGATCTATGGCGGCTTCTACGCATGGCAGCTGGTCTGTCGCCTGAGGAGCCTCATCCCCAGCCGTAGCCAATTCTAGCCGTAGCCTTATTATTATTATTATTATTATTATGGGGTATTTGTAGTGTATTCTTATCTGGTTGGGCTGAATAAACATATAAAAGGGTTATTATTATTATGTAAGTGCCACTGCTGGGCACATGCCAGCTATAATTTCTGAAAGGGTGCGTGTTGACGGCCTTCACATAACGTTAACGCATCTGCAACTCGCCTGGTGTTGCAGTTGTTCATGGGCGGTGGTAGTCACTTACTATCAGGTGAGCCGCTGCTCGTAAGCCCCTTCTTATAATTTCTTATAAAAAAACATGACATAAAAATAATTCCTTAGACACAAAGGTGTTTTCTTTCACCGCTCTTCGAGGACGTGGGTAAATTAGTATTTAAAATTACAATTAACAATTGCAACGGTGCCGGCAGGGATTGAACCCGGGTTGGTATATTTATTTAACTTATTATTGTATTCAACACGCTAGATTACAAATGATGGGTTTAAGATAATTTATAGAATTAGTCGTTACTTTGCGAAAACCCATTATAATAAAATATTATGAATTTATTAGCTAAGATCTCCGTAATAAAAAATCATTAGTTTGAAGAACACCTCCCGCCCTCCCTCAATAAAATGTCGGGATAAGTGGTGACGAGGAGAGTGCACTCATTTTTTAATCTATTTTATTTAATATTCTGTGTATATTCTTGTATGAAATTTCACTTCTAATTAGTAGTACTTGTTTATTGATGATGAATCTTATACAAAGTTAATAAAAAAGAAAAATCAATATTTACGCCACAGACTTCTCTGTTCTCCTATTACACTTTTAAGACGGTAGAAAAAGCTGACATAAAATATGGTAAAAAAATTGTTCTTAAAACTTACGAGTTATTTTCTGATTGGACTCCTCTGTCATCCTCACCAGATAGTGAGGAGTCGGGTCGTGAGGACAAAGTCGTTTCGTCTTGCAAGTCTTCTGTTGCTTCATTCTTACGAGGTGGCCCTGTACATGTAGGTAGGAATAACAAATCATAACACAGTCTATATTATAATTATACGTTGATGGAATGGTGCAAATGCACTTACATATATAGTTTATATTTAAGACATGTGGGTAAACAATCAATGACATTTAGTATATACGCTAACGCTAACATAACGCTGTTACATTATATACGGTAACATTAGCGTCTACAGAAACACGATGCGGGTCGCTTCTCGATACATTTATTTATCGGTTACGATTCTTATCGCAACGTTTCTTTCTATTAACCAATTTGCTGTTATAAAAAAAAACATCATCTCTCACCTGGATGTATGCAGTATGTCCCAAACTCCACCTTTTTCCCCAACACTCCGAGGAAAGGGAACTTGATCTTAACGGAGTGAAGCAAACACTCCTGTTGTAAGTCCCAGATATTTACGGTCTAAACAGAAAACAGCAGATAATGTGTTTTACAAAGGTTACACATAATGGTACGAACACCTGAAACCAAATTCAAACAATGAAAGCTTCAGACGCGTTATCACTTCTGAGTACCAGGACAGAACGTATTACAGCTTGTAACTATCATCATCATCATCATCATCATTACAGCCCTTCACAAGTCCACTGCTGAACATAAGCCTACCCCAAGGAATGCCACAAAGCACGTTCCTGAGCCACCTGCATCCATCGACTTCCTGCATGTCTTACCAGATCGTCACTCCATCTAGTGTGTGGGTCGCCCTACACTACCTTTTTTCCCCATCAGTTGTCGATTCTTCGAGCTATGTATATGGCCAGCCCATTGCCACTTCAGCTTACTAATCCGTTGGGCTATGTCGGTCACTCCGGTCTGGTCTGGTCTCTACTTCGGATATTCCCAGTTTAAAGTCACGCTGAGAAATATAATTTTATTATTATATAATTTTCAGCGCCAAGAACAAAAAACTCCCTAACCACCTTACTTTGACTATAAGCGGAGAAATTTTACAGAGAAAAAATCAAGAAAAATACCTCGGACTGATTCTCGACAGTAATTTGACTTGGAATGCACATCTCACACACATTAAAAATAAACTTTCCTCTCTCGTTGGCCGTCTTCACAAAATAGTTCGACGTATTCCGAAAAAAGCCCGAATCCTAATATATAACTCTCTAGTAAAACCTCACTTACTTTACTTAGTAGAGGTATGGGGTACTGCAGTCAAAACCAATCTTATACCTCTCCAAGTGCTACAAAACCGTATTATAAAAATTTTGTATAACTATGACTTTTTAACACTAACTAAAACAATATATAAAGAATCTAAGCTGTTGAACGTTACTCAACTTTATACATATAGCACATGTATACTAATATACAAAATAAAAAACATAAATTAATCCACTAACACATCTCACGTTTTTTTCAAAGAAGCAAAATATATAACACGCCGAGCTAGTGACCTTGTATTGCCGTAAGAACAAACTATGGTAAAAATAATATAACAGAGGACACACAAGAGCACACACTAAGGATTCATACCATTTTGTCAGTGAGATAAAAGACCTACATCTTACTGACAATGAAACCATGGTGAGTTTTGATGTTCAGTCTCTATTTACATGCCTACCTGTTGAAGACTGCATCTCAATTATAACTAGGAAACTAGAGGAAAATAACATGCCAGCAGAATATGCAGTATTACTAAGACATTGCCTTACATCTGGCTGTCTATTGTGGAAGGAAGAGTTTTACAAGCAAGTAGATGGTGTTGCGATGGGCTCACCTGTATCTCCCATTGTCGCCGATATATTCATGGAAGACTTTGAGGAGAAAGCCCTCCTTACTGCACCTGTTACACCAAGGATCTACTAGCGGTACGTAGACGATACTTTCACAATTTTACCATCAGACAAAGTCTGCATTTTTAGAACATCTTAATTCCATAAACTCTAAAATTCAATTTACTATGGAGTTAGAGGCAAATAATTCCTTACCTTTCCTAGATGTGTTAGTCATCCGAAATCCTAATAACACCATTGGTCACACTGTGTATAGGAAAAGGACCCATACAAACCGATATTTAAACGGTGAATCTCACCACCATCCTTCACAGTTAGCTACCGTGGGCAAATCTTTGTTACAGAGAGCACGAGGGATCTGTGACAGCAAACACCTGGCCGCCGAGCTTCATCACGTCAAGCAAGTTCTGCACGACAACAAGCTTCGGGTCCCGCGCCTACGTCACAGTGACCGAGTGAAGCCGGCCACAGTCGAGCGTGTGCCTGCTGTACTACCATATGTCAGAGGTGTCACAGACAAGATTGGCTATATCTTGAAGCGAGCTTCTATTAGAACATTCTACAAGCCGCCGAAGAAGATTAGTCAGTTCCTACCATCCGTCAAGTGTCATATTCCTCTACAAGATGCAGGAGTGTACAAGCTTGATTGTGAATGTGGTCTCTCTTATATAGGACAAACAAAAAGATCAATTAGGACCCGCGTAAAAGAACATATAGCTGATGTGAAGCATCAACGTTCCGGGAAGTCTGCAGTTTGTGATCATATCCTAGACGGACCCAACCATTACATCAGATTTGATAGACCACAAATCCTCGCGAAAGAACACCGATTCCTACCAAGGATGATACGTGAGGCTATTGAAATTAAAAAACATCCTAATTTCAATAGAGAAGGAGGCTGGGTACTTCCACCTGCTTGGGATCCTATAATCAATAAAATTAAAACTAAACCCAAGCATACCACTGCAAGACCTCAGGAAGTAGTTATTTTGATATCGGACCATAAACAATAATTAAAAAAGCTGAAGGTACTCCCGGTTTAACAATGACATCGGGACGTCAGTCATCTCAGTCCCCCGTGACCATGGGTGCTGGAAAGCGCCCGAAACGTCGGGAATCAAAAATAAAAGTAAATAAAAAGTAAAAATAAACGCGATAAAATCCGTAAAAGTAGTTTTAATCAAAATAATATAACGTTAAAGGAGCACAGTTATACAACAAACTACCTAAATTTATAAAGGAGGCGAAATCTTGGAATGCTTTTAAACAGAAGTTACTTGCCTACTTATACTCACAACAGCTAAACACCTAACCTAAATCATTATTAAATAAAAGTTAAAAAAATTATTTAACTTGGACCACCACCTTATAATTTGTTAAGTTAAAGTTTTATTTATACCCGGACTAAAAATTGTTATTACTAACTTTATACTTATAGTTATTATTTTCATGTAAGTGACAATTGTCTTATTGAAAAAATAAATATCTTTAAACCGAGAAACTCCGAGCAGAGCCCTCTCCATAACTCGCTTAGCGACCTTAAGCATCCTCATATGGCCAGCAGTCAAGGACCACGTCTCAGTACCATAAGTCACCACTGGCAAAACGCACTAGTTGTACAGTCTCGTTTTCAGGTTTTGAGGTATAGCTGCTGTATAAGCTGCCGTCGATTGACCTCTCGGCCGAAGTTGGACTTGCCTAGTCAGACTATTCGTCCCAAGTAAACATACTCGTCAACAACTTCGAGCTTAGTGCTTCCAACAACTACCGGCATAGGTGTGACATGGTCGTTACACATGATCTTTGATTTATCCATAAAGTAAAATAAAAGTAAAGTTACAGCCTATATACGTCCCACTGCTGGGCACAGGCCTCCACTCATTTCTGAGAGGGTTTTAGTGATGGCGAACTTCACATGTTCGAAATATTTTTCTCTTATTTTTCTGACATGCAGGTTTCCACACGAAGTTTTCCTTCACCGCTGAGCACGTGGTAAATCAGAACCTAAAATTGCAATTAAATAATCATTGGTGCCGATGGGGATCGAACCCGGTTTACTCGCGCACTGTGAAATTTACAGCGAGCGCTAACCATCTGAGCTACCACGGCTCCTAAAATCCTCCTGATTTATCCATGTTCATCTTAAAACCTATCCATTTAGAGGCACTATTGAGGTCATTGAGTATAGTGCTTAGGTCCTCCAGCAATTATGCCATAAGAACTATATCGTCAGTAAATCGAAGGTGAGTGATCAAATCGCCATAGATGTTAATACCGTATACTTTCCAGTCCAGTAGCTTGAAAACGTCTTCCAAAGCAGCGGTGAAGAGTTTCTTGGATATAAAGTCACCCTGTCTTACACCTCTCCGCAGTTGGATAGCTTTCGTACTCTGGTTCTGTACTCGAATAGCCATGGTAGCCCTACTGTACAAACAATTCGGCACTTCGATATACCGACAGTCAACTTGGTTTCGATGAAGGGACTTTTGACGGAATTAAAGGTTTTCTCATAGTCCACATACGCCAAGCAGAAGGGCAGGTTGTACTCCTCGGTCTTCCGTACAATTTGCCGAAGGTTATGTATGGGGTCTATGGTTCTATAGCCTATGGCCTTTTCGGAAACCGGCTTGTTTGGAAGTGTGAAAGTTGACGAGTCTGCGTGCGACACGATTCGTAATGACTCTCGAAAATAGCACGAAGACGCGGCTAAAAAGGGATATCGGTCTGTGGTTCTTCAAGAGAGCGTTGTTACATTTCTTTAAGAACTAGACCACCGCACTTTTTCTCCGCGACTCCGGAGTAGTGCCTTCTAAATGCAACTTTGCAACTTGTCTATCTCTTCTTCCAGCTCCAGGATCTTCTCGTCCTCCTCCACTGGAGATTCTTAGCACCCCCTGCCCCGCCATTACCATGGTCACCACCGTAGCCAGAAATAGCGAGGCCGCCGAGGACTGGGGGCCGTTGGTTTGTGTCGTTTCTCATGGGGGATGTTAAAAATAGTTGCCACGCTTGGCAAGCTGATTGGCAACCACAGTTTTTTATATATTTGTTATCAGGAGGATGCAGCTGCCCATCCCCTGACCGTCTCCTTCTGGTGCCTCTTGCGACACCCATGGGAAGATATGGGTAGTAGGTAATCTCAACCGCCACTACACGGGCTGTAATTATTATGGCTCTCTATTAACTACTGACCGGAACTCAGCAGTTCTAGCTCTACTACTATTGGTGGCAGAAAAAGATAACGGAGAATTGAATCGATAGTGTCCTAATGGCGGGGTGCAGACTGCGAACACAAAGGTTATGGCTTCGAATACGCCATCCGACTACTGCCATGAACCACTACTTACACAAGCAATTTAATAGCAGTGGTTAAAGGGAATATTAGTAATGTTCGTAGAATTGCTAGTAGTTTAGTATTTTTTAAAAAGAGAAAAAAGAAGGTGATACTTAAAGTAACAAGTAAGCTACCAGTTCACGTGATGGTAAGATTTAGAGTAAGGTAGATTCAGAAAATCGACAGAGAGAATCTTAATTCAAATAAAGAAGGCTCTGTAGCCTCCCTTCGTAGATTTCTATGACACAGCATCCACTTACCACCAGGTGGATCTACTTACGCAATTATTGTGATAAGCAACCGCAATCTGGAGGTGTGGCACGACTGCCACATCGAGTACTGGCATCGCTGCAGGTGCGCTGAGACGTGCGTAAGGTGCCGGCTGCGCCACGTCCCACAGTCGCACGGCACCATCGCAGCTGCCCGTCACTACCAGCTTCAACTCCGCCACCCAGTGGAAACAACTCACCCCCTACCACCAAATTTCTGGAGTTTACTCTTTAAGATTTATCATCATCACCGTCATTACAGCCCTTTACGCGACCACTGCTTTACACAGGCCTCCTCCATGGAATGCTGTAAAGCACTGCCCTAAGCTACTTGCATTCATCGACATCCTGAATATCTTAGCAGGTGGTCACTCAATCTAGTGGGGGCTCGCTCTGCACTTCGCCTACCGGTAAGAGGCTGCCACTCCAGAACCTTTCTTCACCATCGGTTGTCGGTTCTTCGAGCTATATGGCTCATTACCACTTCAGCTAACTAATCCTTTGGGCTATATAGGTTACTCTGGTCTAGTGCGAATATCCCTTATGATAATCTTTAATGTTTCTCCAAAAACTTGGAATAAAACTAATATTATAGATTTTTTTTTGCGTTTAATTTTAACTTTTTTTAATTCCCGACGTTCCCGGCACTTTACTGTACATATGTTTGTGAAGATGGTGGTACAGTACTGAGGTTTATGACTGAGTTTACAGTAAGTGTAAGATTGTTCTGTGTAGATCGGGCCGAAAATTTAAAAAAATGTTAAAGTTAGCTTTCGTTCTCCATGACAGAACGTCAAACTCTTCAGTATCCTCGTAACCCCGATACCCTTACTTGTCATCGTCATTACAGCCCTTTGTAAGTTCACTACTGAAAATAAGCTAAGAAACGCCACAAAGTACAGTCCTGAGCTACCTGCATCTATCGACTTTCTGAGTATCTTACTAGGTCGCCACTCCATCTAGTGCGAGGTTGTCACTCTATAACCTTTTCTCGCCATAGGTTGTCGGTTCACAGGCAACACGCATTAGTTATAAGACAGTGCTAAACTACGGTGGTAAAGACATGTAGAAGAACTTACTCGCTGCACACTAGCTACTACATCATTCATATGTGGTGAGCTGTGCCGCACGCACAGGCTGCGCTGTCGGTCATGCGAGCAGGACAGTATGCGGCGGGCATCCCGCTCGCACGCAACGCGACGTACAGCGCGCGAATGTAATATGCCTCGCGAGCGCGCACTGCACCACGCATGTATGCCCGTACACAGCTCCTGCACATTTACCGTGCGAGTGGGCCGAAATGTGGTGCATGTCTCTGACGCACACGCATCCCCGCACCTAACAACTACACAAGCCCTTTCACAGCTTTCAAACACTAATATGCGAGATAGTGCACAATAAAGTCATGTCCAATGGATTTGAGCTGTTTACCAGCTTGACAGAATATGTACCTACTTATATATACATATAATGTAAGTATAAATGTAGATTATATATTTTAAAAAGAAACGATTGACTTGTAAAGTCAATCGTTTCTAGCATTGAATGTTATTTTTAGGTTTTAAAAGTCGTTGTATTCACTTTTTACCAAATATCTCTCGGTTGTCCCAATACACATTAAACCGGCTATACATGTTGGCCGAGCGACGGCGAGCACCAACGTTTGAAAAATTTGTCCAGCCTCGCTATTGTACGTCGACGCTCACCTAGCTGGCCGAGTGCAGGCGAACGCCAACTTGTACATAATATACGGTTCGTTTATGTACAAGTTTCGTCCACTTCGGAACAATTTTTTTTATAGAAGAGGGGGAAAACGAGCACACGGCTCACTTGATGCTAAGTGATGACCGCCGCCCATGAACAGCTGCAACCAGGGGGATTGCAGATGCGTTGCCGGTCTTTTAAAAAGGAATTAGCTCTTTTCTTAAAGGTCCCTAAGTCGTATCGGTCCGGAAAAATCTCTGGTGGTAGTTGATTCCACAAGGAAGTTGAGTGAGCAAGAAAACTTCTTTTGAATCGCTTAGTGGTGGACCGCCAATCATCCAGATAGTATGGATGGTATCGCGAATTTTGTCGCGATGTGCGATGGTGAAACTGTGCGACTGGAATTAGTCCGAACAATTCATCAGAGCACTTCCCGTGGTAGATGCGATAAAATACGCAAAGAGATGCATCATTTCTTCGCAGTGCCAGTGAGTCAAGCCGATTAGAAGAAGCTCGGTCGCCGACGATTCGAGCTACTCTGCGCTGGATGCGAAGGAGCAGACACTATGGAGCCCCGTCCCAGAGATGGAAACAGTATTGCATGTGCGACCGAACCTGCGCCTTGTAAAGTTGCGGGCGGTGCACCGGCATGAAATACTGTCCCACTCTGATGAGCACGCCAAGCGTTTTAGAGGCCAATGTTGCCTTCTCTTCCAAGTGACTTCCACGAAACTGCACGTCACTCGATATGTCGACGGCGAGGATTCCGATACTGGCTGAGGCAACAAGGGGATTGTCTTGAAACTGAGGAGATACGACGAAGGAGTTCTTTTTAACGGTAAACGTGCAAACTTGTGACTTCTGGAGATTAAACTGGACTAGATTTAGTCGCCCTCCGTCCGAGATTTTGTTCAACAAAGTCTCGACTTCAGACACAAGTTTATCTACTCGGCGGTACTCGGCGACGTTTTCCCGAGAAATATTGGCACGGCCGGTGTATAAAGCATCACCAGTGCTGTCATCTGCATAGCAATGAATGCTACCGATTTGCAAATTGATATGCAGAAGAAGCAGCGTGGCGATAACACGCAGCCTTGTGGAACACCAGCATTAATAGGCTTGCAATCGGAGCTTGCACCGTCTACAACGACCTTGATGCTCCAATCAGCAAGAAAAATGGTGATCCAATTGCATGTCGGTTTTTCTGCACAAATCAAAGTCCTGCACTCGGTAAGTCGCGTCTACATGTTAGTTACAGCTTGGGTCCGTCCCGGCGAGATATTGATTTAATTAAGTTGCAACTTTAAAATAATTTCGACAATGTCACTGTACTAACGAGGACATTTTCAAGTTTTTAAATTTACTGCGGAGTACACTGACATAATAATTATATGCACTCATTAAGTATATATTCCATAATTTTTACGTCGTCCATATCATACCAATTCTCAATGACGACTAATTACGGTCAACATGTGGACAGCTCCGCAAAAACTCGAACTCTGAACATTGGCCTTGGAATTGGTCTCTTTCGAACTTGACCAACGTGTAGTCTGTAGCACTCTCCTTGTATCAATTTGCCTACGCTCGCGTTGGCTGAGGCTTGGCCAAGATTATTGCCGAGGTTAAAGTACACCATTGTCCTATAAAAGACAATAACCATCCTGGGGCATGATTCTATTTTGGGTAAGAAAGAATTCATCAGCTTTATAAATAGGAGTTTCTGTTGATTTGCATAACATTTGATATATTTTGTCAGAGTCAATACTAGCAAAAATTCATTTTTATTAAATGTTTAAATAATTTAGACACTAATTTGTAACTAGCTCATTTATTATTCCAATATTTTAACAGGTTATGAGGCATTTCACCTAGGATCTCAGAGGTAACAACGCACCTGTCCTTGTTTGCCTAAAGTGGATTTGAAGATCAAATCTTCGACCTTTAGCTACGTACTTTTAGGTATACATTCCAGTTTCGTTTATCACTGCATTATTGTGTAAAATGAGAGCGGTTCGCATGCCCCTGTCAGGTCGACAGTAAGCCGAACTTCACTCGTTTCGCTCACTCGCAAAACACAACCCTTATAAAGTTAATAATTTATCCAGTGATGTTCATATTTAGCAAAAATTTTTTATAGCTTCATCGAAAAACTTTCTCACTATTGGAGTTTAAAGATTTATGCTTATGAGAATATTACACAATAAATTAACTAATGTTTGCAGATATTGTGTTTTTACATTCGCAGCATTACGAGAATGGTTGTCTACTGTTTTATATCAAATATTGCACTTATATTTTGTGTAGCGGTGAAAGAATTTCCACTGCCCCATGTCATCCCGTGGGTGACGTAAGAGGCGACAGAGGGAGACAGCCAGGAGTTGGGCAGCAGCATCTTCCTAGTAACGACTAAAATAACTGTAACTTGGCAAGCGTGGCAACTATGGCAAATATCTACTCTATGAGGTAATCTATGGGGTTCAGCAGAGAAATTTAATAGGTTGTTATGTTACACCTGTGAAAACATAGTGAATTGCGAAAAAATTAGTAAACAACGAAAGAAAACAGTTTCAAATTAATATTTATTTTTAAAAAAATTTATAATGTATAAAGGAGAAAGTGTAGTGTAGAGTTAGGGTATAGCCGGTGAACGCGGTTATGTTTCTCGGTTAAAAGTTAAAGTAAAAGATAAAGTACTTATGTGCTGTTAGCAAACTTCATTTGTCTTTGAAATTTTTTTTTATTTCACAGACATGCTAATTTCCTCCCGATGTTTTCCTTCACCACCGTGGTAAATCAACACTTAAAATTACAAACCATTGGTGCCAATCCGGGTTGCCCACGTACTACGAGTAATGTGTACAACGAGCGCTTAGTACCTAAGCTGCTACCAGGCTCTTGTACTATGCATGAGCATAATATTATTCGATTTACTTCACAGGAACGGGAAACGAAGAAATCAGCACTCGGCACAATCGTCACACATCGGTGTTCATTCAACTTAAATAGATCCTGTATATTATGCTATAGTACATAAGCACTCGATATTTCAAAATTAAGCTGTTAGGATGTGTGATAATGTTACAATTTAGGATGTAGAGTGTAGTGTTGATTTAGGATGTATGGAGCATTATCAAAGGGCTTGAAAAGGAAAACCTGGAATTGCGATCACGGCCAGCCTTGCGGCTAAAATAGATACACTAACGGAGGAGATTTATCTTCTCCGCAAGCAGGAGACACAAAAAACCTATCCACCGAACACAGCAGCCACATCTAATCGACCGGTGCTAGCACACCACAAGGACAAGCACGGAGATGGGGAACTCATGGAGCGCATTGGTTCCTAATCGAAGAAAAGCTGGCAATATTTGATGCCAAGAGTTATCCGACCTCCACTGGCAGGTGAGAGTCTGCCGCGGACACATTCGCCACATTCGCTGTTATCGCTACCTCAACGGCCATCACTTGCAATCGGCTCTATCGTTGCAGCAGCAGAAGATGAACAGGCAAAGGACAAGGACTTCCGCCCCAAGCTGGGGCGGAAGTCGTTGTCGCCTCACAAGACCGAGGCCCTATATAGGAAAAAAGGATGTATTGAGCAGGGTGTAGATTGTATTATGAAATAAGGGTATAGAGTGTATTATAAAGTAACGGTGTAGATTTATGGTGTATAGTGCAGTAAACTGTAAAGTTAGGGTGTAGAGTAGTGTACATTTAGTGTGTAAGGGGTAGGGTGTTGTGCATAGTGTAGTGTAGAGTAAGAGTGTAAATGTAGTATAAAGTTATTGTGTATGATGTAGGATGTATAGTGTAGAATGTAGGTAGTAAAGCTCGCAGACTCACGTGCCAAGTGCAGTAGGGCGGCGAGTCGGCGGGCAGCGGCGCGCGCACGTGCAGCTCGCACAGCGCGCCGCGCGCCGTGCCCACCGCCAGCCACCCGCCCACAGCCGACGAGCTATACGCCAGGCACTGGCCAGAAGCACCGACGTTATTTTTTTTAAATTGATATGGGAAAATGTAGCTAACTATATATTAATAACAATTAAGCTAGATGACACTGTCAACGTCTGTCTTCATCCCAGTGAGTCACTTTAACATGTCATCTTCGGTTGTTGGGCGCTACCTAAATATGAGTACTTTCACGGACACAATTTAGCAGCCAGGATTCTACACTAGAAGCTCACCCTGCCTTACTATAAGTATTTGCCCGAAGCCGTGCTCGAAAATGACCGCTCCATCGTTACAAACAGGACTATTCTTGCGAATAAGCCTCATATCACACAAAACCACATGTAAATGCAATAAATAAATAATAATGTCCTCCAGTTCGAATTTCGGCCACGGCGGCCTTCCTCAACGGAGGCTAGCCATCGGCGCAGGACAGGATTATAGTGCGCAAGTGCAGTTTAATGAAGTAATTGGTAGGTATAGGAAAATAAGTAGACTATTGCTTTTTTTGCTGTTTGTGTTCATTTAGCGCAGTATAATAATGTTACGAGTTTACGATTCGTGACAATAAAAACTGCCGATTGAATTACCAAAATTGACACTTTAATTACTGAACACTAATTAAAACTTAAGTCACACTAATAATTATTCACACTTAACAATTTAGCTTACTTTATTTCGCTCCGGAGCTTCGCTCGTATCGCCAATTCAATACTGTCCCGTTTGCGGCTCTCAGCGGTCTTAAATACGCCTATTCCACCGAAAAATCCAAAATGTTCCAGCAAATACCAGTCCCGACCGACTAAGTTCAGAAAGTTCGAGAGTGGACCCTCCTAGAAAGCTTAATTCTTCTGTTCGATACTAGATGGCGCTGTTGGTTGAAAGTTCAAGATTCACATTTTCTAGATGATTTTCTAGATTACACTAGATGGCGCTAGTTCCAGATACCAGACATCAACTTGGACGCGCAACACTGACCCCCTCCTAAGACACGCTCGTCCCGAGCATTATCGGTCCCATAATAACGCGCCAGTCGATCCATATGGACGATCTTAGGAGTACCTCTTGCACCTTTCCGAAACGGCACCGCAACATCAAGGAGTGTACTATCCCATGGTATGCACCAACATTGTACAATTTCAATGCTCATCTACTACGAGTCTGAGGTCCCTTCACAGCCGCATAACTTGTACATTTGCGACACAAATCCTCGACATCGTCACGGTAATGGACCCAGTAAAACCATTCTCGGATCTTCAGTAAAGTTCGTTTAACTTCCAGATGGATAACTCCTGAACAACCATTATGGTACAGCTGAAGAACATTCGGCATTTTAGCTTTAGGGACAATCATTTGCAAACGACAGCTGTCTCCTTCACCATTTTCCCATTTACGGCACAGGACTCCATCCTCAATCAGCAAGCTGTCCCGTTGGACCCAATAGCTTTTAGTGGTTGAACTCATCACTGTGACGCCGCTCCACTTGGGCTTGGTAGCACGGGCCTTTATCCATTCCAGAATCAGCTTGATGTCCGGTTGTTCCTGCTACGCATATTGTTGTAAGCTGTCCTTCCACTCGTTGCTGAGGTGGTCTGTCCTGAGCATCCTCACGGATACCACTTCCTTCCCCTCTTGCCTAGTACTGTTCTTGCAATTATCAGGATAAGAACTTCTTGACAATCTGTGTTGCCACGCCATTTCTTGCTGCAGTGTCCGATAGTATTCCTGCTGCTGCTGGGCGGTGCTGTAAGCCACACTACCCTTTCGAGATCGATCACCTTCCCTTTTTACAGATCGCTTAGGGCAGCTGGATCGAAGATGGCCCCTTCCTAAACAGCCATAGCACCTAAGGCTGTATCCATTATTGCGGTCACGAACTGTAGCTGCTACAATCTCCCTGACGTGATGGCAATGATGATCCTGCCGCACGGCTTCCACCTCTAGTGCATGGGCCAAGGCGTCCTTAAGCGTCTCGTGGTGCCCTAGCCTAACAGCAGCTCTGACTTCAAGGTTGTGGATGCCGTCGGTGAATGTCTGCACCAGGTTCCCTTCAATGAGCGCAGGTAGAGACCGGTTTGCTTTTCGCACCAGCTTCTCCACCTCAAGAGCCCACTTCTGCAGGTTTTCGTTGATGCGCTGAACGCGATATTTTAGTGTGCGCACGAAAGACGTGTTCCAGGTGAGCGTCGCCATATCTCGCCTCCAATGCCTCAAGGAGCTTCTCATAAGTCACTTCCTTACCGAGAGCTTCTAGAACAGTTAAGGCCTGGTCGCGCAGGCCTAGAGTGAGAGCAGTCATGGCCCGACTTTTATTCCAGTCGTTCGCCTTCATAACAGCCTCGAACTGGATTTTGTAGGCTGACCAGGAAGAAGTCCCGTAAACGGCTGCACTTTGAATCCACGTAGCGATGGTTTTGTAGCTACTATGAGAGCTGTAATTCCATCCCCCAGTTTGAGGTCGTCCAGCGTTTTCTTCACGTCAGCCATAGCGTTGTCAACCCAATTGTTCACTTGGTCGATTCGGGTTTCAGATTTCTCGATTCGGGTTTCAACCTCCGAAACGCGGTTGTCATGTTGAGCAATCTTATCCTTCAACTCCTTCATCTCTTTTCCGAAGGTAGCGTGATGGTCCTTCATGAGGAGCATCTGCTGTTCCAACCAACGGGCTTGTTCCTCTTGTCCGTCCTGAAGCTGCTCTTCCAATCGGCGTGCCTGTTCCGACTGCTGGCGGGCCTATGCCTCCTGCTGCTCTTTTAACCAACGGGCCTGTTCCTCCTGTCGGCGGGCCTGTTCCTCCTGCCGGCGAGCCTGCTCCTGCAGCACCATCATGAGAGTGTGGCGGCGCTGTCGTCGCGCCACAAGCGAAACACACCGAAGCCTTAAATCGCGCTATCAACATTCCGAATCATAAACAGTATATATAGAACATCTCCGAACCATCACACGGAGTGTTGGCCGCTCCCCGGGCAGAACACCTTGCCCGGCGGGAGATCTACCATTTTTCTTCCACGGCCACAGTGGTGACCCCGACGTGATCTGAACACGCAACCAACAACCTTCGGAAACTTCAAGCTTCATCATCGTCATAGAGTACCCCACCCATTCGCTCCCGAGCAGATATCATCTGCAGTCTTCATATCCTGCAAGTCACCTAGCTTCACAAGGTTCATCGCAGCACTGGAATAATAATGCTTCCTGTTCCTTCAAGCTACTCTCTGCGCCATACAGTGTTCGGCACGGCTCTGAGCCTTACTGCTCGCCTCTGCTTCACGGCACTCTCGCAGATTACTTGCCTTCTTCTCGACTCACCGCAGACTACAAGGCAATCTCCTGACACTTGCACATTCGTCGGCAACGAGGCTGCACTATCGACCTCCGGTCTGAGCAGGGGGTGATGTGGCGGCGCTGTCGTCGCGCCACAAGCGAAACACACCGAAGCCTTAAATCGCGCTATCAACATTCCGAATCATAAACAGTATATATAGAACATCTCCGAACCATCACACGGAGTGTTGGCCGCTCCCCGGGCAGAACACCTTGCCCGGCGGGAGATCTACCATTTTTCTTCCACGGCCACAAGAGCATCTAAATCAGGTGCCGCAGGTGTAGGAGCTGCTGACGGGCCAGCCTCCGTGGTTGGCAGTTGACCCTCCGACGTCTGCGGCGTTGCACCACCAAATCTTCACTGGTCCGTCTCCTGCTGGCGTTGACTTCGGGTACGGACACCCTCGATTTCATCCTTAGGTAAAATTGGCATGATTTTATCCCACTTCTGACACCAATTGTTACGAGTTTAGGGTTCGTGACAATAAAAACTGCCGATTGAATTACCAAAATTGACATTTTAATTACTGAACACTAATTAAAATTTCGAGGTCTATGTTCAGCAGTGGACTTGTGAAGGGCTGTAATGATAATGATAATGATGAATTAAAACTTAAATCATGCTAATAATTATTCACACTTAACACTTTAGTTCACTGTATTTCGCTCCAAAGCTTCGCTCATATCGCCAATTCAATAATGCCCCGGTCGCGGCTCTCAGCGGCCTTAAATACGCCTTTTCCACCGAAACATCCAGAATGTTCCAGTAAATACCGGTCCCGACCGACTAAGTTCAGAAAGTTTGACAGTGGACCCTTCTAGAAAGCCTAATTATTCTGTTCGATACCTGATGGCGCTGTTGATAGAAAGTTTAAGATTGACATTTTCTAGGAAGCCCTCCTCTCTCTGTTACCCGACATTAGCTGGCGCTAGTGCCAGGTACCAGACATTAACTTAGACGCGCAGCAATAACATTCACTACATTAAAGATTTTCAAATAATTTAATTAGGTCGTAAGATCCGCGTGAAAGATAAAAATGATGTGTTTTATCTAGTTTGAAGAGCACCTCCCACCCTTTTCCATTGCGATCACTATCCCCATCATCTACTCTCAACACAACTACACTAGGAACTATACACCAGAGTCGATGCTAATTTTTAACGCGGATCTTAGTTAAATAATTGTAACATCTTTATTTAAAAAATATTATACCCGATTCTATTAATATTTACTATCCCATATCGTCCCGTGGGTGTGGTAAGAGGTGACAGAGAGAAACAAATCAGTAAAAGGGCAGCAGCATCTACATCATAACATCTAGAAAATAAAACACTGCAGTTGCAAACTAAAAGTCACTACAAAGTAAATAAGCAAAATGGCGGATTGTGACTAGATATAAATAGTAGTACTAAACATGGCAATATTACATGTAGTTCAGCAGTGAACTTTTGATAGGTCGTAATAACTAATAATACATAAAAATACATAAACACTCGCGTCTGTCACTCGGAGGGATAGACAGAGACTACGGACTTCATTTAGAGTAATCCTAACACACCTCTTTCGCCTCCATAACATCTATAAACCTACGCAACATTCTGTAATAATGTTGTGATTATTATAATAAGTGCGTGTAAATTTGCTTGGTGGAAGCGCATGTGATCGTACATTCCATACGCGACGTAGTCGTTTGCGTAAGCATGTACGTGTACATGTGTGCGATGCGTGTGCATACATCGTGTGTTTGTGTGTGTGTGTGTGTGTGTTGTTGTGTGTGTGTGTGTTTGTGTGTGTGTGTGTGTGTGTGTGTGTGTGTGTGTGTGTGGCGTGTGCGTGTGCGTGTGCGTGTGCGTGTGCGTGTGCGTGTGCGTGTGCGTGTGCGTGTGCGTGTGCGTGCGTGCGTGCGTGCGTGTGTGTGTGTGTGTGTGTGTGTGTGTGCACTAACCGTGGGTATATCGGGCAACGCAGTGACGCAAAGCAGCGGCGCGTGCACTAGCGTGTGCGCGCTGAACACGCGCAGGCAGCGCTCTGACGTCGCGTACGTCACGCACTGCGCCGCCTACCGTACAACCATAGAAAGATCACATTACATGCGCTCAAGCAGAGTTGTGGTCTTAACTTGTCGGGAAATTGGATAGATTGTGATTTATTATATAATATTTTCTTTGATGATATTACTGTTAGAAAATACACTGTTTGAACCTCATGGATCTCTGCTCTCTCAGCATTTTTTACGTGGATGCAGCTATATTATAGTTGTAAGACGAATGGGTCAGCTCGAGCATGGAAGACCACGTTCTCAAGAATACAAGCGTAAAATAGCAGCTTAATGCTGCTGTGTTTTGTGCGATGAGTGTAGAGAGCCGGAAACCCTTTTCACTGAAAACAAGATATTTTATCTTAGTCCTCAGGGGTGACAACGCATCTGCATTTTGTTTCTTAATCGAGGATAATTTAAATGTCTATGGGCCAAAGCATCGACTTACCATCAGGTGGACTGTGTGCTCACTTGTCATCCTTATAGGCTTAAAAAATAAAGATTCGATATATTTTTTAAACTCGATAAATTATATACACTTACTATACTCGAAAAGCACTGTATGACCACAAATCTGATGGTAAAAAGTGATGACGTGTCTCCAGTTGACGTCACGCGCTATATAACACAACAGCATTATGCTGCTTTTATTAGCTGCTATTCTTTGGTCTCTTTCCGTTCGAGCGCACTCATCCGCGCTGCTGCCGTAATACGCATAACAATGTTCGGTTTATATTTAAAAAAAAATAAAAATGTATCAAGACATAAACTTATCTCTCACATTCATGTAAACAGCGTCGGTAATCCAACAATTCTTAATACGTCGATTTGATCCGGGTCTATTGTAAAACACCTGCAAAAAAATAATTTTCCTTATATGTAGTATTTTTATTTAAATTTTCTTATCTTCAATTTAAAACAAATTTTCGCAATGTGACGCCTGGTTGTATTTAAAAGTTATAGTCTCAAAGTATAAACCTATATACGTCTTACTCCTGGTCACAGAAGGCCTGTGTCCTTACTAAAAGTATGTAAGTGATGCGCCGGTTTTATTTTTCAATTAGTCGTCTAGGAGTAGCAACATTTTCCTCAATGATGGCAGCATTTAGATGACAAGCAGTGCAATCCTTTAAAATCTTATAAAATCATCGCCCTAAAATATTTTTGCTTTAATTCCGTTTTGGCTACGGATAACGAACTTCGTCTTGGAATAAACTTCCCGCCAAAAATTATTTTAATCAATATATGAGTTCCTTGTGTTTTAAAAAATATAACGTTCCAAATTCAAACATTTATGAGCGGCTAGGAGTGTATAACTTACAATGAAAAAAGCGCTAGGAAGAGCTTGTAAGCTAAATGGCGAAACTAAACAGTTTTCGGCCAGGACACGTTTGCTAACTTCAGTAGCGCTGACGCAAGCCGCCATTTTGCTTATTTACTTTGTTTTGAAATAGAGTTTATAAGTTGTTTTGTGCAATATTAGTTTCAAGTTATACATATAATGACATGAATATACATATTATACATGTTATTAAATATTCATGATTGGTAAGTTTTTAATACGAATACTTTACAAACATATATTTAAATTAGGTTAGGTTATCCGGTTAAAGCTAATTTCGTGTCCTAGAGGAAAATACGATTTGACAGCGCTTACCGCTTACAATCGCCATTTTGCTTAAAAGCGCTTCCTAGCGCAGTCAGTGTTAACCTTTGTAACATATTAATAGTGTACTATAAATCTATATAAACAACAACATACGAGAGTATTCCACTAAACTACCCATTAAACTCAGCTGGGAGAACATAGAAATAAATCCTTATCACTTACAACGGACTGCTAAAGTTCTGCATCTGAACATTGATCTCACCTGATAAGTACTGAGTAATTTGAGGTGGCCACTGTACACTCCCGCTCGGCCGCCTCTGGACACAGCCACGTAGCAGAACGAGTCCTCCCGCTCTACGCTCACCAGCTTCACTATGCACTCTCTCTGGAATAAATGTACAAGAAATGATATACGGTACACAAAGATAATAAATGTGTATTTTGTAGAATCGTACCAACTGTGTGGTGGCGGTGTGAGAATATCCACTGCCCAATATCCACGTCTCGAGTCGTAAGAGGTGACGGAGGGAAACTGAAACGGCAGATGGGCAGCAGTACTTTACTTATAACAATTTAAAAAAAAGGGTTGCCTACACGCCTTCTCAACGTGGCAGCCAAAACCCGTTATGAAACAATCTATTAGGGGGATAGTGATTGCTGATCACTGTTGGATGCGTAGAAAGAATGAATTTGGAAAGAGTGACAAAGGAAATATATGCTGCAGGATTGGGTGTCAAAGTCGACAAAGAACGCAGTCGACGTCCTTTTGTATCGACCAAATTGGTGATATATTAAAAGTGGACGAAATTAAAAGCACCGTTAACCGACGAGCATGTATGCCTAAATATACGGATTTGAAAAAAACGAGCAACTATTGCAAAATCGTTCCTATGAGACAATCTATCTTGGAGGCTTTTGTTCAGTAGAAAGATTTTATACCTAAGCTGTAATAGATGGTATGTAGCGGCGCTGTCGTCGCGCCACTAGCACACGGAAACACACCGAAGCCTAAATCGCGCTATTAACATTCCGAATCATAGACAGTATATATAGAACTTCTCCGAACTATCACTCGGAGTGTTGGCCGCTCCCCGGGCAGAACACCTTGCCCGGCGGGAGATCTCCCCTTTTCCTTTCACGGCCACAGTGGTGACCCCGACGTGATCTGAACACGCAACTAAACAACCTTCGGAAACTTCAAGCTTCATCATCGTCATAGAATACCCATTCGCTCCCGAGCAGATATCGTCTGCAGTCTTCATATCCTGCAAGCCATCTAGCTTCACAAGGTTCATCGCAGCACTGGAATAATAATGCTTCCTGTTCCTTCAAGCTACTCTCTGCGCTACAGTGTTCGGCATGGCTCTGAGCCTTACTGTTCGCCTCTGCTTCACGGCACTCTCGCAGATTACTTGCCTTCTTCTCGACTCACCGCAGACTACAAGGCAATCTCCTGGCACTTGCACATTCGTCGGCAACGAGGCTGCACTATCGACCTCCGGTCTGAGCAGGGGGGTGATGTAGCGGCGCTGTCGTCGCGCCACTAGCACACGGAAACACACCGAAGCCTAAATCGCGCTATTAACATTCCGAATCATAGACAGTATATATAGAACTTCTCCGAACTATCACTCGGAGTGTTGGCCGCTCCCCGGGCAGAACACCTTGCCCGGCGGGAGATCTCCCCTTTTCCTTTCATGGCCACAGGTACAAGCAAAGGTAATAATTGAGCACACAGTTCACCTAATGGTAAGTGGATGTATGCATGTGTGTGTCGAGTGATGCATGCGGCGAGACTTACGCAACTTTAATACTGCTCGTATTAAAGAAGCGATTGAGCGGAACCAGGGCTCCAAAGTCTTTGCCAGAGATCTGTCTGCCAGAAAGAGCCAACTGTCAAAGCTGAAGACTGAGTGTGGCAGCATCGTTTGCGAGACAACTGAGATTTTGAGTGTGATTGAGAGGTTCTATGGGCAGCTGTACACATCATCGTTGGAGCCACACGCAAGTGTGAGTAACGATCCAAGAACAAGTCTTACCCGACACTATTCCGATGATATATATCGTACCATAGGTACCTAAATCTATTCACAATTAAGAATCAAAGTACAGATGCTTTGCCATCCGAGATCTGTGGAGGAACAGCTGTTTTATTTCCAAACTGACGAGACCGGAGTCCTGTGGGATTACGCAACCGTCGAGGTTGCGATAGTGCATCGCAAACTTAGCGGTCGATTAGTCGCAAGATCGCAGACCGCATGGACACAAGAAACGAGCTGTTGCGTTATACTTCACCGAAGATTTAAAAAAAAGCCCAGAAGGTTTTAGGTGCATCCACTGATTCTCGATAGAGATCGTTATGTATATTTATTACTCTTATTAGTGAATTAAAGAAAAAAAATTAAATTTTTTTTTAATTTATTTTCGAATGTCCATATATAGTTATTGAGAACTTATAAGTAAAATGGAAACTGCTCTTCAAAAACAACAAACTAATATGCGAGACCCTACATCACCGGAGGAAATGTTGGCAGTTATATTGAGATATGTATGTTTATTTTAATAAAACTAGTGGTAGTATTGAAATTAACATATTTTTAATTCAAAATACACATCATTTGAAAAATTGGATAAATTAGTATTGACTGAAGAGACTGATGGGAAATTTTGTGGACTTCGGGAATTGCTTTCAGGAGTAGACTGGTAAGAAGAAGTACCATCATTATTACCGATATTTTCTTGACTGTAATTTTAATAATAATAATAATATAATAATAATGGGGGCCCATCTGGTTGGATCTTATTTATTTATGTAGTTTTTGTATTTATTTTATTTTATTGATATATATGTACATTTATCTTTTCATTTTAATTTATAATTATATATTTATAGAAACCAACCGGGTGAGGAAATTATATAGATACACCAATAATAATAATAATAATATAATAAAACATTTATTCATTACCACCAATAAAATAAAATTACAATAAGCAGTTATTGTAGCACACAGAAATAACCATAATTACATATTGTAGTAATGAATAGGCTCTAGCTCAGCATAAATGTTGCAGTTGCCCACAACGCTGTTATTCTGCCAGCGCCCTACAAATGAAGAGTACAGTATGCGCACATCCCTTCAAATTTATGTTGTATATGGATAAGATTTTATGTTGTATTTTTATGTTGTATAATAAGATGAAAACGCTGTATGACAGTAAGATTATTATCAAAATTATCTATAACATGTAGAACTTCTATTTGAAATTTTCTTGTTTTTACTTCATCAACATTTTGCAATAAAGGTAAAATTCCACGAAAAATGACAAATGTCTATCTTCGCGTACAGACAACAACTCTATTAATGCTTTGTCGGCGTCATCCTTTTTTACTTTTTAGCAGCTGTTTTAGAAGAGACTGGTGTATGGGTAGCAAAAGTATCTGACACTGCTGGCACGTTAGTAGTATCAGTAGTTTGTGGAGCTGTAGCACTGATTGCTAAGGTTGAAGCATTGACTTATATGTTACTAGCGTAAGGACCGGGCCGACCGAACAACTAAAACGGACCAGTGCGTTGGCCCTAAAATTACAGTTTGGGGCCAACGCGAATCGGTCAACAGTGGTGCGCGCGCAGGATAGATTTGCCTGTCACAAATGTCTAGTTGCGTGGTAAAATAATGCAAAAATTACGCTACAAAGATTTAAAAAAAAACATGGGATATCGTATCATCGATAAGTAATATATTAATTTTGTTACAATTAAATTATTATATAAACGCATTTTTAAGTTTTATTTTACAGTTAATTTAGCTACGTTACCAAGATTAGGACAGGGTTGGATTTAGACCCTCAAAGTTAGTGTACATGGAAAATAAAATTATACTATTTATAAAAAATTATATCAAGTTTGACGTTTCGTGTTTCTTTTTTCCCATGTGCCGGGATTTTGGCGTCACGCGTCTAGTTTATCTATACGTTTCGGTTTTTGACGGTTTTATTTTTATTTCTGTTTAATTTTTGTCTAAAGAACTTAGTGTAAGTTAAATTTTGAATATTGGTACCTAATATATTTTATATTCAATAAGGGTAAAACGAAAAGAGGAAAAAAAGAAACCATATCTGTTTAATTTAATCTGAAAATCTGATTCATAAAATATTTCGAAATTCTGTTTTCAAAAGGATTGCTTCTGGAGCATAGAGTTTTTATCGTAGTAGTTTTGTATCGTGGTTTTTATCATTAAAGTTGTATCAAGGATGGAAAGAAGGATAAATGTATCGATCTAGCATCGATTGACCAGAAAGGGAGCTAATTCTAATTTTATTAAAAAACGCGTTACTCATGACAATACAGAAATTCTCGATATCCTAGGGTTAGTATTAAAATGTAAAAGGACCTAATAATAATACAAGTCGACCTTTAGGTAAAATTACGGTATTTTCGCTTATTATTATTACGATACTATGTACTACAAACTATGAAATAATGGTACAATTAGGATAATTGTTCTACGAAATCCGACCCTGGTTACATGGTGTTTTGATATAACGTTTGTATTATGACAGATGCGCTACTTTTTCTTGTATGAAAAAGTTATGAGTAAAATATTTAGATGGGCCTATCCGTCCTTTTGAAATCATTGGGTTGAAGAGACATTTTCAATAGATGTATGTAATTTTTTAATAAACTGTAACTGATCATTATATATGTACTTTTTGGTTTTTGTAGCTTCCAATTCAGATTTTATTTCTGCTTAAATTTTTTTGTTGTTTAATATTTGTTTGATATTTGTTGTTTAATGCAACAATATTAAATATTTTTTCCATTTTTTAATTACCATGTTTACTGAAAAACATGATTAAGTAAATTTATTTATTTCAGATACATAATTAAGAATAACATGTGCAAAATTATGGGAGGTATTAAAGCTTGATAGTTTTCCGGTAATTACTATGGAAGTTTTAGAAGAAATCAGCAAAAAATTTTACAATTACGCAAAAAATTCTACGTGGTAGAGCCATGCTGCAGTTATATTAGTAGTATAGTTGTAGCACGAATGGGTCGGCTCGACCGGGGAAGGACCACGCTCTCACAGAATACCAGCGTGAAATAGTAGCTTAATGCTGCTGTATTTCGTATGGTGAGTGTAGAGAACCGGAGACCCTTTTTACTGAAAATGAGGCATTCCATCTCAGTCCTCACGGGTGACAACGCATCTGCATTTTGATTTGTAATGGAAGATAGATGTAGATGTCTATGGGCCGCAGCAACCACTTACCATCAGGTGGACTGTGTGCTCGTTTGTCAGCCTATTCTATAAAAAAAAAAAAAAACTATCCTCACAGCGTCGGAGCAACACATAAGAGTAATTAAACGAGGTAACATTGCTTCAACTTACTACAGCTTTGTTATTTGTGATTACTGCTTTGTTTTTGTAGACATCAGAGCCCCGGGAATTAATGCTGGTTCAACCGTTTTTAAAAATAATACTTTTTGTAATGCGCTTAATAGTGATTCTGTTAAACTATCCAATGAAAAAATACTACCCGGATCTGCTTTGTCACCTGTGCTACATATGTTCGTAGCCGATGAGGCATTTAGGTTACATCTAAATATAATGAGACATTATGTGGTCAGTTTTTTTTGTCAGTTTTTATGGGTCAGTTTTTTTTGCCTTTCTTGCACCAAAGAAATTAGTAGATCGATTTCAATAACCATTTTGAAAGTTGCCACGTGTAATATCAATTCACTGGTGCAAAATGGCGTCGGAGCTCTGTACCCGCCGAGGGTGCGGGTGACCGTGGCCCGAGCGATTCTAGTTGGCCGCCGGCCCGCCGGTACAGCGGGATCCGCACACAACCGCGCCCATGGCGCTCGTAAAACACGTCGTGTAATGTGTGCTTTAGTTTTTAAAATAGGTATATATTTGCATTCTTAAAACCGCTTCCTGAGTTCTTAGCCTAAGATAGAATGCCTCGTTACCATTAATATGGGTCACCGGTTCTCGTCAACACACGAAATAATACAGCAGCATAATAATAATAATAATTTTTTACTGACATTTTCTTAGTTCACATACTTTTTACAAGTGTAGGGCGACCCCCCACTAGAAGGAGTGACGACCTAGTAAGACATGCAGGAAGTCGATGGATGCAGGTGGCTTAGGCCCGTGTTTTGTGGCATACCTTGGGGGAGGCCTATGTTCAGCAGTGGACTTGTGAAGGGCTGTAATGATGATGATAATGATGATGTACGAGGGTGGATTGAAAAGTACTCGGCCTAACCAAGAAAATAAACACATACTAAATCAGTTATATTTTTATTTTTCTACATAATCACCATCAAGTTCAATACACTTTTGCCACCTCCCCTTCCAAGCATTTAGACCGTTGAAAAAAAATGATTCTTCCTTAGAGTCAAAATATGCGCCTACAGCTGCTTTGACCTCGTCGTTTGTCGAAAATCTTTGACCTCCCAAGTGCTTTTTTAGATTAGGGAACAGAAAGAAGTTTGATGGTGCCAGATCAGGTGAATACAGCGGATGCGGTAATAATAATAATAATTTTTTACTGACATTTTCTTAGTTCACATACTTTTTACAAATATATACAAAACATTATGAGGACCAATTTAAAATAGGTAGAAACCTAAGTCTCCTAGCTAGGTTACTTAGTAACCTGTATTTAGGTGTATTATGTGCATGAGGTTCTCTGTTTATGGTCTAGGAGGGCGATGGCTGCCATATGCGTCATATTTGTGAACAGGTGTGTTGTGCTTGTAGGGACTGATCTGCTCAAACTTGCAAAACATTTATAAGGTCTTTAAAAATTACCAAAAAGGAGATTGCAGTTTCTTTCCGCGTTCTGTCTCTGTACTCTCTCTCTCTCTCTCTCTCTCTCTCTCTCTCTCTCTCTCTCTCTCGCTCTCTCTCTCATTGTGAAAAAATCATTCATCTATGCTCATGTGGATGCGCCGTAGACGGTAGTATGCAACGTCCGAACGTTTTACAAAAAAGTTTATGATAAATATATGTATATATTTTTTTTCGTATAGATGTATAAATTATTTATTAAAACGACAGAAATATAGACAAATATGTATTAATATATAGAGAGGGTAAAAAATACTTAGTAATCATTAAATCTATAAATTCAAATTATGATTAGAAATACTATATTAAAATAGGTCAATCAATTACACAGATCAGTTATTTATACTTCCCTTCTGTTCGTTTAGCAATAATTTTTTAATGTTTATTTTAAAATTTACTAATGTCTTTAGAATACGTAGTGGTGTTGGTATATTTTTCCAGCAGTGAGTGAGTATATATTTGTAACAACCTCTGAAGGCAGAGGACCTATGTCGCGGGACACTTAATATGGATTTATTCATTTCTAACAGTTTGATAAGCCACATTGAGTACCATACTATTTTTATATATATATATATATATATATATATATATATATATATATATATATATATATGATATATATTTATGTTACATGATATAATATTCAATCTAATACATTTTTGTAAGCATAATATATGAGTTTTTTTATAAAGGGATGCTGTCACCTTGCAGTGTCGCAGCTGCTGTGGCTTGCTGCAGAGGGGTGGCATGCAGAGAGGTGAGGCACGGGGTGCGCGCTGCAAGCGGCTCAGCAGCTCCCCCCAGCGCACGCGCCCGCTTCCCAGCGGGTCCAGCGCCTGACACAGCTGACGCGCATGTGTCCTGAACTTATGATGCCCTGGTAGTGTAAACATTAATCATCATACGAGAATACCAGTGTAAATTAGTAACTAGTGTTTTGTATGATGAAATAGAGAACCGGAGACCCTTTTTGAATATGAGGCAATCCATCTGAGTGCTTAAGGGTGACAACGCATCTGCATTTTTATTCTTAATCGAGAATAGATGGAAATTTCTATAAACCACAGTATCCACTTACCATCAGGAAGACTGTGTGCTCTCTTGTCACCCTTATTCTTATTATAGGAGAAAAAAACTATATGTGGGTTACTCTAAAACTTTTGCAATTTAAACAATTTATATGCAAAGTATCACCTAAGACATCACCAATCTTACATTATAATCATCTCTTTACATTTTGTCCCGGCAGCATGAACGGTCCAACCGTACATTTCTGCTCACGTTAACATTTTACCACAGAATAAATAATAGTACTAATTTTAAGCAAATTAATCATTATAGTTAGATATTATTACAAACATTGTGTTAGTTCACGTAGGTATAGTACCTGCAAGTAATAAGGCCTAGCTAATGGAAATTCGAAAGAAAAAAAGAGGAACATCCTATTCATGGTACAGATTTTAATAAAAATCATTGGCTTAGTACAATTTCTATAAAACGAAAAATTTTATATTTGCTATAAAGGAAAACAAAATTAAAAATTTTTAAAACCCTTGCTAGTAGGTCTTATTTTACTATGGTAAGGTAATAAGGCCTACTGGTTTAACTAACTCAAATAATCTACTACTATAGGTACGTAATATATTTAATATTTGTGATCAATAATCACATGAATGCACCATCTGAGACTAAAAGTTCTAAAAAAAACATAAATTTCCTCGCCTAACAGCACTTAACGTCATTAGTATATTTATAAACAAACTGACAAAAAAACGCACTCCTTGTGAATATCATCAGTGCGTTGGTTGTGTCTCGAGTTGAGATGAGTGTTAGGTTGAGTTGCGAGTTGGGTTGATTGTTGGGTTCAGTGTCCTCCAAACCGAAGTTTTGTCACAGCGGTTAGTCTCCACGGAGACTAGCCTATCTGCACAGTAGAAAATTATTGTGTAGAAATCTATACGTAAGCACAGGTGCACTCTTTATTCCCTCACAATCATCAAATCGTAACCGACAACGTCCGAGAGAGCTTAGGCACAGGACCAATAATTTACACATAATTTAATAACCTCTAATGTCAAAGCTTTAATTCTCCGACACACTTTGTCTTTGCACTGTTTGGACAGCTGAAAACAGATCGTTTTCTGACCTACATTAGATCAGAAATAAAAGCTTACGATTTATTTGTATTTATAACATTTCAAAAGTGATATAAAATACGTGGTCTTTACGTGGTAGAGCCATGCTGCAGTTATATTAGTAGTATAGTTGTAGCACGAATGGGTCGGCTCGACCGGGGACGGACCACTTAACATTATTTAACATATTTTATATTATATATATTTTAATCTTATACCTTTTATCTGTTTATTAAACTGTTTTAAACCGATTTCAAAAAAAATTAGCTTCTCGGTTCATCGGAATCTCTCTTATTTTTTATGTATGTTCACCGTTACTCATGGGGGGATATTTGCCATAGTTGCCACGCTTGGCGAGCGGGTTGCACCTATGCCGGATGGGTCATACCTATGCCGGATGGGTCATACCTATGCCGGTAGTTGTTGGGAGTACTAGGCTCGAAGTTGTTGACGAGTACGTTTACCTGGGACAAATAGTCCGACTAGGTAAGTCCAACTTCGACCGAGAGGTCAATCGACGGATTCAACTCGGCTGGGCAGCGTTCTCCCGAACGCGATTACGACACATCTTCTCGTCAGGTATACCTCAAAACCTGTAAACTAATGTGTACAACCAGTGCGTGTTGTCAGTGATGACCTACGGAACCGAGACGTTGTCCTTCACTGCTGGCCGTATGAGGACGCTCAAAGTCGCTCAGCGAGCTATGTAGAGGGCTATGCTCGGGGTTTCTCTACGTGATAAACTTAGAAATGAGGATATCCGCAATAGGACCAGAGTGACCGACATAGCCCAACGGATTAGTAAGCTGAAGTGGTAATGGGCCGACCATATAGCTCGAAGAACCGACAACCGTTGGGGAAAAAAGGTTCTCGAGTGGCAGCCTTGTACTGGCAGGCGTAGTGTAGGGCGACCCCCCACTAGATGGAGTGACGACCTGGTAAGATATGCAGGAAGTCGATGGATGCAGGTGGCTTAGGACCGTGCTTTGTGGCATTACTTGGGGGGAGGCCTATGTTCAGCAGTGGACTTGTGAAGGGCTGTAATGATGATGATAATGATGGTGTATGTTCACCGATTACTCGAAAACGTCTGAACCGATTTGGAAAATTCTTTTTGTTTCAAAGGTTATATTTCCCAGGTAGTCCCATTAAAATTTTATCAAAATCGGTCTAGCGGTTAGAAAAAAATCAAGAAAAAATTATATTTATATTGAAGTCGGTTGTACAAATTTTTTAATTTTACCACTTGTAACATTTACTTTTAATTATTATTTAACATTTGTCCACTACAATAAAATACATAAAATCCGAACATTATATTTACTGCTTCAATATATCATATTTTCAATATATCTGTTAAAGTGCACACTACACTTTACCATACGTGAAGCAGCAGATATATTGAAGCAGTAAATATATTATTCGGGTATTGGACGAACGTTCAATAATAATTAAAAGTGTAAGTGTAGAATACGCTTTACCATACGTGAAAACCAATTTTGAAAACATAATATGAACCCACAGCCCAGCGGCGTGCGCCCGGTACTTATGATGCCCTAGTAATTCACATATTTATCACGATTATCTACGACTGTCTTGTAGGTCCAATGATCGTGAGCACTGCTGATAATAACGTGGTCTGGGGTCAAGGCTTTATGTTAGTGGGTTTATTCATCAAGAAATTCTCAGTATGCATGGACGGGAAGTTAGCGATGTGCCCCATTCATGCGGCGGAAAGCACATAAAGCCTACACTTAATCTCTCTCGGATCGGTGTCAGATTGTAGTCCTATTGACGTTTAAGTATGAGAGAATAGATAGTGCACCCGTGCTTGCGCATACTCTCGAGTCAGCATTAAAACTGGCCGGTGTGACCGACATTTGCTGTGGAGGACATTATCTATGTTATTATTTTTTACGTGGTAGAGCCACGCTGCAGCTATATTGTAGTTGCGGCACGAATGGGTCGGCTCGACCGGGGCAGGAGACCACGCTCTCACAGAATACCAGCGTTCGTATGGTGAGTATAAAGAACCGGTGACCCTTTTTACAGGAAATGAGGCATTCCACCTCAGTCTTCAGGGCTGGCAACGCATCTGCATTTTGATTTTTACTTGAAGATAAATGTAGACGTCTAGGAACCACAGCATCCACTTAATATCAAGTGGAGTGTGTGCGTTAGTTAATAACGTAATCTCAGGGGTGACAATTCATCTGCATTTTTAAATTGTCTATGGGCCAATGAATCCACTTACCATCAGGTGGACTTTGCTCGTTTGTCACTCTTATTCTATAAAAAAAAATAGGAAGAGGTATCCCATACCGAAAATGTCGTCAATGGCGGATACGAAGCCCTCCCAGTGTAAGCTCGTATCGATGCTGGGCGGTGGGCTCTTTGAGAACTCGACTCCCTCCGCCGCCGCCGCCACGTGCATCGCTTCCTCCACTTTCCTGAGTCACATTAACTTTTCTTTGTACAAAACACAAGCTATAACACTGTATTTCACCCTCTCAGGGGTTGAATTTTCTAATATCCTTTCTGAGTGAATATCTACGTCGAGAAAAGAGTACATATGCCAAATTTAAAGAAAAGTAGTAGTAGTAATGATAATAATAATGTCCTCTAGACTGAATTTCAGTCACAGTGGCCCGATTCAACGGAGACTAGCCATCGACGTAGGACAGCATTATAGTGTCCAAGTGTATGTGCAAGCACGGGTGCACTCTCTCTTCCCTCACTCTCATGACCCGATGGGACGGTAAACCGACACAACCGGAGAGAGATCTGGTGTAGTATCAACAGCTTTACGTGCATTCCGAGGCACGGGGGTGAGACACTGCCAACTTCCCGACTCCGGGCAGCTACTGAGAATTTCTTAATGGAAAACGTCAATAACTGATATTTTGGGCCCGACCCGAGATTCGAACCCAGGATCTCATGATCACCAGTCGCACTACTACAACCACTAGACCAAGGAAGCATTAGTATTTCGCTTATACCTATTAGAGTATAGATAATATTTTGGGTGTGTAATAGTTTGACTCTCCTTCAAATTTTTTTTAAACTGAAGTGATACAGAACTTAGTCCACCTGCTACTGCATACAATGGACACCTACGAGTACAGCCAATTTCTTACAAAGGATTAAAAATGTGGTGTCACTCCTGAGGGCTCAGGTGAATGCCTCCTAGCCTGTAAGTGTTAGTGTTAGTTCTCTGTGCCCTTCAGACGCGAACACAGCAGTGCAAGCACCGCTATTCGGCAGTAATAGGTAAGGTGATGGCAAAAAAGCAACTTTTACTGACTTTTTTGATATAGTACCCGGTTGACCGAGATTTGCTCGGTATTTTTCGCTCGGTTTTTTTAATTCGTGTGTTTTGGAAATACTGATGAAATACGAATAATATTTTTTGATCTTAGCGACATAATAGAAAAAACTGAACTGGTTATTTGAATAAAAAATCATGAGTGCAATTAGTTTAATTTAAATTTTCGTGTTTTTAAAAAATACTAAAAAAGGGCACGAAAAAATAGATTTTCTCAAAAAGAAAGGAACTTGAAAAAATAATTAAAAAAAAGTCGGTCGGTCGGTCTGGGCTCGAACCATGGTATTACGATTTTGTGACCGCCTAATATACCAATTAAGCTATTTGCGATCATTAATAAACTGTCAAAATTTACCTTCTTATTCTAACGATATTGTAGCCGTTTTCCCTAATTTTAAGTACGGACAAAAAGATATTTTCTAATTAGAGTGTATTGCCCCCCGAAACTCCCTGCACACAAAATTTTATGAAAATAGTTGGAGCCGTTTCCGAGATTCCGATTATATACATTGCTCGTTTAAAGGTATAGGAATAAAGTTTGAATCGACAATTTATGTTAGTGGTTTATTTAGATTTGTTTATAATTTTGATTTATAACAATTTAATTTTAAGATCAAAATTAGGTTGGTACCCACAGAGGCAGGTACTACTCTCTTTACTATTTTTACAGCCAAGTAGTAGTACTAACATTGTTATAATCCGTTTTAAAAAATATAGAGAGCCAGCATAGAAACTGTAAGAAATTCCATCTTAATTCTCATATGTGACAATGTTTTTGAAGCCTTTTTTGTTGGAGTTGGCTGAAGGTGTCTGTGGTCTGCGGTGGCACCATCATACCATTCGGTATATTACCATCAGGTAGACTGTAAGTTCGTACATCGTTTCAGTTTTATTAAATTTAATAGGAGAGCCCTACATATGATGTTCAGGGAGACACTTATGTGGTGTCAATTTGGTTTGGAAAGTCACTCTTGCAATCACCTGTGAATATCCTTGGCTGTGCTTCTATCCTTGGTTCTTTTGAAGCGCCTCCTCAGCCTGCTGAGCACCGCTGGAGTCATCTTATTCAATAATTCATGGGACAAACTTTCTTCTTCCTCCTCACTAGAAGCAAGTCGTAATTTCCTCCAGACATAAACACAGTTCAGGATTCCGGATTCGTCAAGCGGCTTGGAGCAAGCACGAAGACTTTTTTTGTAGTAAATGTGTATTTGCAGTGTAAGAATATCAGAGGCTTTTTCCAAAAGAGTGATAAAAGTTAAAAAAATTACTTGTAATTTGTAATTGAATAAAAATTCTGTGTAATACCTACCCTCAATAATGAATCTGTAGGTGTCGTAAAAGGCGACGGAAGGAACAAACCAAGACATGAGCCACAGCGTCTTCCTAATAACTAAAGAATGCGGCAGCCAAGCCACGTGCCAAGAGTGGTAGTTATGGCAAAGGTAACATTATCTTGAGGACATTATTTAGACCGAATTTCAGTCACGGTGGCCAGTCTTAACTGAGACCAGCCATCTGTGCAGTACATAATTATTGTAAAAGATAAAGATAATTTATTTTGCAAATATGGGCACAGTACATGGTAATATAGGTAGTGAGTTCAGCCATATTTTACCAGTAGGCATGCAAAATATAAACTGATCACCTAAACAGCTATAACAAAATAAAATAACACAGAAACAAACATAATTCATATTTTTAACATTATACAGTCTTAATCTCAAAATATTTTTTTTCAGTCAAGAATTCTGTTACGCTATAGTAAGCTTTGACTGTCAAGAAGCTTCGAAGCCTTTTTAGGGTTCCGTAGTGAACTAGGAACCCTTATAGTTTCGCCATGTCTGTCTGTCCGTCTGTCCGTCCTCGCTTAATCTCTGTGACCGTTAGCACTAGAAAGCTGAAATTTGGTACCAATATGTGTATCAATCACGCCGACAAAGTGGTAAAATAAAAATTGAAAAAAATGTTTTATTAGGGTAGCCCCCCCGATATGTAAAGTGGGAAGTGATTTTTTTTTAATTTCAACCCTAACGTGTGATATATTGTTGGAAAGGTATTTAAAAATGTGTTTACTAAAATCATTTTTTGATAATGTCAATAATTTCGGAAATAATCGCTCCAAAAGTAAAAAACAACGTGCCCCCCCCCCCCTCTAACTTTTGAACCATAAGTTTAGAAAATATGAAAAAAATCTGAAAAGTAGAATTTTATAAGGACTTTCTAGGAAAAACATTTTGAAGTTGGATGGAAAACAACAGTACCACTACCGGGAGCAGTTGCAGGAGCGCGGAGCGCTGCTGGAGCGCGAACATAATGGATACCCACCTTTAAACTCATAAGTGGGAACACTTATTGTGACGGATGGGAAACTACGGAACCCTACACTGAGCGTGGCCCGACACGCTCTTGGCCGGTTTTTTTTAAATATCGATAACGGCAATTCTTTCCAACTTTTAGGTATTTTATCATATATGACTGGAGCCATGCAGTGTATACTGATGCGCATTAGTGCTGTCTTAGCGGAATGATGACACAAAAAGGTCAGTCTCATCAGGCGCGTCTATTACGTGGAACTACTTGGTCAAGGCGTTTAAAACGTTTTGGATGCAATTTAACAAACACAGCTACTTCCAGTATGTATAAACAAGGTAATGTCAGTATTTTATACTGTTTAAAATACGGCATGCAACTTTCGGTAGTTTTAAGCTTAAACATCGTCCTTATGCATCTTTTTTGAGGCTTAAACGCTGATTCTTTTTCGGTTGAGTTACTCTTAAAATATTATTCCATATCGGAGGTGGGAATCTGCTAAGCCGATTTACCCGAGTGTATGCGTAAGCACAAGTGCATTCTCAATTCCCTCACTCTCATAATTCGATGGGACGGTAAACCGACACGACCGGAGAGAGATCAGGCGCAGGACCAACGGCTTTACGTGCTTTCCGAGGCACGGGGGTGAGACACCGCCAACTTCCTGACTCTCAGCTGCTACTGAGAATTTCTTGATAGAAAAACTCAATAAGTGATTTGACATGGAATTCGAACGAGAGACGTTTACGACCACTAGATCACCGAGGCAATCATATGGTGTGAAATATCCTCGTAGGAGGCAATCCACAGGAAAGGTCCATTTTCAGCACTTGACTTAGATATGCTGTAAAGATTAGGCATGTGTGATGGATGATCATTCGCAATGTTTGCTTGACGCTTGGGATGAAATTTATTGCACTGTGAATTTGACATTTTAAATCATCAAATTCTACCCTTGCGAGTGTACATGCGTCTGAATTAAAACTACTTACCTAACAAAGGTAACTCAAATTAATTAATTATGCTTAAATTCTAAATATTCTTTTAGAATGTTAGCAGTTCGGTTCGGTATCAGTAAGGGTAGTTCTTTAAAATCCATTCTTTTAAAGAGTTGCGCTTAATTTTTTTATCGAAACTATCTGGTAAAGCGATGTTTAGACAGTGCTCGCGGTCGGCATGTTTAAAGTTTGCTCCAACCTTGCATCCGCATCAAGAAAAGGCCTTATGCTTGCTCAAACAAACGTAGAGTAGACGTAGATGTGAGTATCGAGATTTTACGTTCTTGTCGTCGTGTTTCGTCATCTTGTAACCCTTGAGGCGGTGTAAGCTATTCCACAATTCAACATTAGTGAAGGGGAATTAAAAAAAAATTACTATTTTACTATGTTCAGTATTCACAAGGGCGGATCCGAACTTGCTACTTTTTAGTTTTGTAGCCCGTAGCTTAGTAATCAAAATATTTTTGTTATTACCCATTAGCTCTACTGTTGCTTAATATTAACACATTACCCATTTATCAACGTGGAAATCTGTTTATCATCATCCATGGCAACCCCACACCCTTTGTTGGAATTACGGGGATACACGCTATCGCGGCTCAAAAAAACTTTATAAATTTTATACCAGTACCATGAGACAGCTATATATACTATATGCATAACATGAATATATGTGGTTGTAGCACGAATAGGTCGCTTCGACTGGGGCAGGACCACGCTCTCACAGAATACTTGCGTAAAATAGTAGATAGCTCAATGGTACTGAGTTTCGTATGGTGAGTGAAGAGAACCGGAATTTGTGGAATTGGAAATGCGGCATTCCTTCTTAGTCCTCAGGGGTGCCAACGCATACGCATTTTGATTCTTACTCGAGGATAGATGTACGAGTAAATGTGTAATGGGCCACAGCAACTACGTACCGTCAGGTGTACTGTAAACTTGTTTGTCACTGTTAATAATAATACTAATGTAATTTTAAATGGGGAGGAGCTGAGTCTTGTTGATACCACCATTTTTTTTTGGAATCACACTAAACGTAAAGCTTCAATGGGGCCCCCGTATATCAAAACTAGCAAGCAGACTTAGTACTGCAGCATATGCTGTAAAAAAGATTAGAACTCTTACCAATGTTGAAAACAGCTAGACTAGTTTACTTTAGCTATTTTTATAGCATAATATCGTATGGTAGTTTTCTATGGGGACACGCGACTGACACTGAAATTATATTTATTTTACAGAAGAGGGCCATTAGAGCAATATATTATTTAAAACCTAAAGAGTCACTCAGAAGAAAATTTACCTAAGGATATTAATATATTAATTTTGGCCTCTCAATACATTTATCAAAATTTAATGTACGTACACAAAAGTAAAGGTAGTTTTACATAAATAAGTGATATTCTGTAAATACGAGGAACAGACACAAGACAATAGTTACTCGGCTTCACCGAGCCACTAACCGAGGAAATATACAAAATTTGATCTGCACAAAGTTCAAAAACTTTATTAAACTTAGTTTGTATAAAAAGAGTTATTATAATATAAAGGAATTTATGTATTATAATCACTCCTGGGAAGGGTGATCACTACCAAGTTATTTCTAATTTGTTATGTGTTGCTAATATAGATGATAGTAAGCTGTTATTTAAAAAAAAAATCCCGCTGAGTTTCTGGTTTTTTTGCAAACTTAAAAGTGACTTTCAATAAGTATTATTTATAATCTATATTTAATAAAAAAGTTGCTGTTTCTGTTTCCGTTTCAACCTTATCCTATACAAACGACACGTCCATACCACCGACCAATGTTTCTTAATCCTGGTCACAACATCTTATTGCAAACGACACGTATCTCTTATCAGCTTATCACATAATTTCTCACCCCGTCATACTGTCTGACATAGGTACTTCTTAACGACCGCATTTCTGCAGTGTTAATTTTATTCTAACACTTCTTATCAACACCTGAATTTCACTATCATACATTAAGGGACTAACACAGCATTGTAATACGCCATACGGGTTTATAATTCGTGACTACTTTTTTGGATTGTAGTTTAGATTAAACTAAAAACTTCTCCAAACCTCTCGCATCATTTCGATTATTTTATACTTTAGTTCGTTCTGTACTGGAGTACGCTTCCACTGTATGGTCATCCTTTTATAAGGTACATTCTGACAGTATCGAGAGGGTGCAGAGTTGTTTGCTTCGCAGTGTTTGCGGTAGATATGGTCACTTGCGTCGTCTACCATCATACGACTCTCGACTAAAATTTTTTAATGTCCAGCGATTGTCTTTGAGGAGACAATTTGACGAGCAAATTTTTGTGCATTTTCGTATAGAGTGCCCAGAATTATTAAGGCTAATTAATTTCAATTCCGGTATACGACAACGTGTTCAAAGAATTTTCAGGTTAGACGTACACAAAAATAACACTTCCTTTTTCAACCCAGTTGTTAAAATGTGCCGTGATTACGACGAGATTAAGCATAGTAACGTACCTACATCTAGATATATTCCATAGTAGCCTGGTTAGATTTAAAAGAAATTTACGTGTTTCTCTTAACATTTAATGTATTTTTTATCTGTTTTATTTTTGCTAAGACTAAGATTATACCGCAGTTATATTATTATGCCGTGTAAACTTTTTTGGATTGTAGTTTAGATCAACACAAATATACTTTTAATTTTAGACCTTTATATAACTATTGTCTGTCTGTGTACCTTATTCAATAAAATAAAAAATAAAATA